CGGATATGGTTATACAATGCGGCTCAGATCCGGGCCGAATGCGGCCCGGATCATGGATGCCAGACCCGGGCCACTGCAGGACCGTCATTCATTGCGGTATGTGGGCCGAGTGTCGTGCCGTGTCCGCGCCAGAGCTGGGCCAGACCAATTTTGCTGACTGGGCACAGTTTTTGTGGGTTTTTTTTTTCTTGTTGCTACAAAAAAAAGTATCGGCGAACATTTACGACCTTGAACGAACCCTGACAAACTCTGATGTGAACACAAAATTCTCTGCCTTCGAAAACACTGCCAATTGTCTGCCCTCATAGGGACTTTAAGATCATATCAAATGTGCAGAGATAAGAAAGTGGCATCCATTTTTAGCGATCCGTGGTTTCACACATTCGTCATCGGACATGCCCGCGGCATTTGAAAGTGGAGACAAAGGCTTGATGTCGCACGATTTTGAAGACGTTTCTTTACTTTGTGATTTTGTTAACCATTTTAATTTGGCAAGATTGTAAACAACACTCTTCTCTGGTGTGGTGGTGTGTCAAATTCTTTTTGTTTGTCGTGCTTAGAATGTCAGCGGTACATGCTCTTTTTTGGCTTTAACACCGAGTAAAATTAAATGCACGGGTTTGAGCTGGAACTCAAATAGAGTTAATGTTGTTCCAATAATGACATAAGAGGGCAAATTGTCACGTAATGCGGCCTCACGGCTTCCAGGGTCGCACGCCTTCACATGTATTAAATCGCAACTAAAACAAAGGAGATTAAAGAGTTGTGAAATGGTCTGGGCTCATATCACAGTAGCTATGTAACAGATTTAAAATGATCCCCTTTGCTCAGATTATAGGAGGCAAAAATCATAGGAAGCCTTGTGTCTGAATTAGTTTAGTTTATTCGAACATTTTCCCGGACTTTGTGACCCATTCACTTTGGGTCATTCGAGAACTAGAACAGCAACACTGACACTCCGGAAAATCCAGCGATTGTGTTGGTCCGATTGAAATCAGAGATCCATTTATTTACTATTGCGGTTGTCCTCACAGGTGAGACAAACCCTATCCCATCTGACTATGGGTGTGACCAGTCCAGGGTGTCAGCAGTCCATCACAGGGCACATAGAAACAAACAACTATTCACAATCACAGACAATTTAAAGTCTTCAATGAACCGTTGCATATCACAGAAAGCGGCTGACCCCGACTGACTGTGAACAAATAACAGGCGGCGACACGAACTTGGTGAGGGACCCTTCCACACTTATCAACTAGCTGCAACGGAAAAACTGCGACCTCCCACCCTAATTGGTAAGCAACTTCTTGAGCCACTAAATATACTGCACAGTATTATTTCTAATTGAACAAAAACAACATGGCAGAATGCCTTGCTTGCTGGACCTGTATCATGAAAATGCAAAGACAAGAAACAGGCAAGAAATAAAAAGGGTGGCTATTTGAGAGACCCCCCCCCCCCACATACACCACACACACACACATGCATATACTGTATATATGTATATATATATTAGTTCTGCCAAGTGATTCAAAATGTAAACTAATTAATCATACACTGTAATTAATAGCGATTAATGAATTTTTTTACTTGTACTATTTTCTACAAAGCTTAGAAGTGATATTTGAAAAACAACTCTTAAAACTTCTCGCTGACAGATTCAGTTCTGCCACAGTAGTGCTTCAGCTAGAGGGCGCTACAACACCAGTATGGTTGATTCATGCTGCAATTTGAGGGGGGTAAGTGTGTTCAAAGCCTGCTGATGGCTTGCAGATTAGATCAATGCTTTCGAACCGCTACATATTTACTTCCAATTGCCCTTCTTCAATACGAACGTGTACATTAATTGTAGTAAATAAAGAATTTCTGATCAAATATCCCATGGCACACCTGATGATCCCTCGTGGTCGGGAATAAGTGACATCCAAAACGTGACGGAAAACAAACAAGAGAACATTAGTGAGGGGATTTTTTTTTACCTTAACAATTATCCTGACGCGTTATGATTACCTTTATTCTCCACTCGACATTAAACAGAATGACAATTTTGCCGAAGTAAAAGCTCACATTCATAAAATCCCGCACTTTGAAACACGAAAGCAATTTATAGTAGCTGCCAGCCCCTGTGACTCACTGCCTGCATAAATAGGAAAAAAAAAACAATTACAAAAAAAAAAAGATAATACAGTCTGCGTCGTGTGATTCTGCATTTATTGGCATCATTGATGTTTAGGTGCAACTTGAAACAGGAAGCCTAAAGCAACTCTGTATTTGCTTTAGGTTTCGAAATGTTCCACTTCCTCCACGTCTTTAACATCCGATGTCACGTTCCTCCTCAACCGTCACCTAAAAGATAAGCGCCCCAGTGTACAGTCTAATGCGAAGAAGTGCTGCCTAATTGGCGACCTCACACGTGTCAATCTTGACGCCAGGTGAAGTGACAGTCAAAGGAATCGTGTTCATATGGATACCGACCTTCATCAATTATGTCGTAGCTGGTCGTGTGTTACGCTGTGCGGTTTCATCGTCTTACTCTAAATGACTCGTTGGTGAAGAAATCCATCGACTAACATGACATCACTTCAGATCCACTTCCCTATTTGCTCCAAACAAAAAAGTTCAAGCTTCGACGGTGTGCATTCACTCTTCTGCTTTGCACCAGCACCAAGCTCACGCCCAGACTCAGCATGGGGAACTTGGCGGCCAACGAGGGACTCTCCGTCTTTGTCATTGTGAGAATGCTTCACTCGCTAAAATGTTTTATGCGCTGACGATTGATTTTAAGGTTCATTTTTGCTTTCTAGCAGAAGCCTAAACGTTCTGTGCTAATTCCGGCCGTCTCATCATTATGTCTACCTTGTCTAAGGCCCCATTTCTAGGTGAAGAAAAGCAGAAGAACACCTTGAAACAGTAACAGTGTGGGGGCAAGCGTCACTCTTTGGGGTTGTTCTTGTTCAGCTGGAACTTGGAAGGCCCAACAGTTTAAAACGGCGTTAGTACAAAACCGTCAGGCTTCTATGACAAAGCAAAGAGGAAAAAAAGGCAGGAAAAAAACTTGTTCGAACAACTGAACATTTTTGGGCATTAATCAGAGGCATTTTAAACGATGTGTGCTGACTCCTGTATGACATGAGTTTGAATTTAGTTCACTCGCAACACAACCGTAAACCAGTTCTAAGATTGGGGTGTATTTCGTTAACTTTTTAAAGGCTTTTTCTACCCGCTATAAGTAACATGTACGTCGCATGTAACATGGTATTTGTTCTCAGTCGAACCAATCGCATATTTCGTCTCGGGGCAACACTTCGAGGTAGCCAGATAAATGCATGAACGCAGCCTAATTCATTAAAACTGTTAGAATGAAAGCAGTGTTATCAGATGAAGTCAATGTGTTTGTTGTTGTCTGCTTCAGCTGGTTTGGCTTGCCATTAACGCCTTCCTCTTCGTCCATTTCTACATGGCCTTTCTCGTCGACAAATGGTTCTACACTCGTGTGCTGCTCGGGGTGAGTTTGCAGCTCGTTCCTACGTCTTCATCCTAGTGCCACATTACATCTCAAGATTCACTTCAGTTTCGCCACTTACATACTTTTATTGGAACATTTAGGACTACCTCAGTTCCTTTCCAAAAATTAAAACAAATGGTCTAACATGTTGGGGAAAGGAAACGAAGGTTCTCTTTTAAAAAAAACCCAAGTAAATGGAGATCATTTGCCATTAGCTGGTAGTTTGATTCCACTGGAGGTAATTAAAGGCAACTTGAATTTCCAGCAAGCTTTGTCCTGGGCCCGAGCTCCAGCCGCCTGTCTCAACTTCAACTGCATGCTCATCCTGCTGCCCGTCTGCAGGAACCTACTCTCCTTCATGCGGGGAACCATCCAGGTAGCAAACATTCCATCTCTGTTCAGCCTCTGGGAATTTCTCTGTAACCGAATAAGCGTTTAGTTCTGCAGCCGCACAGCCGCTCGGCAGCTGGACCGAAACATCACCTTCCACAAGCTGGTGGCATACATGATCGCCTTTCACACAGGTATGGTTGTTGGCAGCTTGTGAACATGATGTGCATGCCGCGCCACCTCTTTGACCTTATGCTGTCCTCACTTTTTAGCCGTGCATATTGTTGCACACTTGTTCAACTTTGAGTATTTCATGGACGCTCAGCTGAACCGCAACAGCAGCCTTCTGCCCTTCATACTGTCTGAAATTGGTAACGGCGACAACGCGTCCTTCCTCAACCCAATCAGGTCCAATGAAACGGTGGGTGAAATGCTTCTCGCAAAAGGTAGTGGCCAAAAGTGTGCAGTCCTTGAACTTTTTTTTTTTTCCCCCCCAGAACCCAACAATCGTCATGTTCACCACCATCGCCGGTGTGACGGGTGTGGTCATCACGCTGGCCCTCATCCTCATCATCACTTCTTCCATGGAGGTCATCCGCCGGTCGTACTTCGAGGTGTTCTGGTACACCCATCACCTTTTTGTCCTGTTCTTCATCGGACTGGTATTCCACGGCTTTGGGTAGGAAAGCGCCTAAATCAAAGGTTGACTTTCTTCGGTTTTCATGATGTTCATCGATATTTGCGCTTTGCCGCTTAGGAGGATTGTGCGAGGACAGACATCGGCCAGCCTGACAACGAACGACCCACGCCTCTGTGCAGACCGCTTTGAGGAATGGGGAAGAAATGATTCGGACTGCGCGGTTCCAGTGTTTGCTGGAAACCCACCAATGGTACGCGACCGAGCCCGCTGACTTTCGATAGAATGCCTCATTTCATCTCGCATTTTTCCAGACCTGGAAGTGGATCGTGGGACCCATGATTTTATACGTCTGCGAGAGGCTTGTTCGAATCTATCGATCCCACCAAAAAGTGGTCATCACGAAGGTAACCGGGTCGCAAGTAGAAATGTGAAATTGCGATGTCACGAAAGTCCAATCTGACAACATGGGGCCTTCAGGTGGTGATGCATCCCTCCAAAACTCTGGAGCTTCAGATGAAGAGGAAAGGATTCCACATGGAGGTGGGCCAGTACGTCTTCATCCAGTGCCCATCTGTCTCCAGGCTGGAGTGGCACCCCTTCACCCTGACCTCGGCCCCAGAGGAGGACTACTTCAGTGCCCACATTCGAATAGTTGGGGACTGGACTCAGGCGTTGTATGAAGCCTGCGGGGGGGACAAAACGGAGCCTCAAGAGGCTTGGAAATTGCCCAAGTATGAAAACGCACTCTATCTTTTTGGTAAAGTGTCTCTGATTATGTTTGATTGCAGCTAGCAGCAGTTGTTGGGGAAGGCATCTATAGGGTTCATCTTCACTCTAGGCGGCCCATTGTGCCGCTGTAATTCTTGCCATTTAAAGAGAGCGTGCAGACGCAAGGGATGCTAGTCACCATCAATTGGAACAACCTGATCTGAGCAGCAGCAAATTGGGGTTGTGCCGCAATCCTGCTTGACAAAAAAAAAAAAAATCTGTTTGGACCAGAAAACATTAACCATGCACAACATAATGATTTGTTTTTGAAAACTTTTGCACACAAAAACAAACGAGAAAGATTTAAGCATGTTGCTATTTCGGCTGCTTGCCTCAGCTTTAAAGAAGTACCGTGGGTTATTCCAGGATAGCCATCGACGGGCCTTTTGGCACTGCCAGTGAGGACGTGTTTCGCTACCAGGTGGTCGTGCTGGTGGGGGCGGGAATCGGTGTCACGCCTTTTGCGTCCATCCTCAAGTCTGTGTGGTACAAACGCATCCAGAACAAAGACGTCTTCACCAAAAAGGTAAGACCGACATTGCCAAAGTCCACCAGGATAAAACGCTTAATACATTACAACAAGCATCCTTGTGAATGATCATTTTGAATGAAATTCAGGTACAAGCAAACAGGAAGTTCATTCATTATTTGGAGATAAGGATTTTTTTTTTTACCGGCAGGTCTGCATGAGTGGAGGTGCTCGTGAACAAAAATAGTCTTCTGTGAGAGTAAGAAGCATAAACATCTCCGTCATGTTCTTGTCCAGATCTACTTCTACTGGCTTTGCCCTGAGACGCAGGCCTTCGAGTGGTTTGCGGACTTGCTGCAGTCGCTGGAGAGCCAGATGGCGGCAAAGAGTGTGACGGACTTCCTGAGCTACAACATCTACCTCACCCGCTGGAAGGAGCAAGAGGTGTCCGGCACGCAGCAAATTTTGTCCTGTCTTCTGGAAGCAGATGCATTCTTTATTTAACCCAGTTTTTTTTTTTTTTTAAATAGGCGGCACATTTCTGGGTACACCACGAGGAGGAGAACGACCCAATCACAGGGCTTAAACAGAAAACTCTTTATGGAAAGCCTAATTGGGACAGCGAGTTTACTGGCATTGCATCCGAGCATCCTGGGTGAGATCACATCTATCGCTTTGAAGTCCAATCCGTGATCCAGATTCCAAAATGCGACTTTGCAATAAGCATCTTGAATTTGCATTTCCGCAGAACCAAAGTTGGAGTGTTCCTCTGTGGGCCACCGCAGCTCGGCAAGTCGCTGGAGAAACAGTGTTTGACCCATTCGGAAGCCGACGTCAAGTTCATCTTTAACAAAGAAAACTTTTAACACTGCCATCAACACCTGGGTCCATAGTCATCAAGATGTGTTCTAACATGCCTGTGAATACTTGCATGAATCCAGGTTGTCCTCTCGGGGCATTAAATCGATCGCAACTGGATTCTTCTAGTTGTCTTCGAAGACGTGATGTTTTGCCTCTCATCTGGGCAGCGACAGCCTGGGGGGGTTCCTCTATCTAGCCTTGGTGCCCGAAATCATGAAGCCATCTCTGACGCAAAGCTAAACGTCACGTCTTCGAAAACAACCAGATCCAGTCCAGTTGGGATCGAGTCGACGCCCTGAGAATTTTCTCTCAGGTAGCCTAAAAACGATTAGCTCACATCATCTTTTAACCAGGAGCGTCTCCTCGTACAAGGATTCTCCATAAATAAGGCTGCCGTCAAGCAAACCGATCTTTTCTTGATATTTTGCGGAAGCTCTGGCATCTAGCTCCCAGCAGATGTTTTGCAAGTGTGCCATTGTTGCACAAATGCAGAGCAATACACTTGGCGGTACTTTCCATGTTGGCGTTGTTCTGCTTTAGCAGTGCATCAATTGTTGGTTTCACAACTACTTCTGTTTTTCTCATTCAGTTGTCTCTCATGCACTGTTGCGACCCATTTCTCTCTCACTGGCCATCACACCACAATGTTCATCTGCAAACAGGAAAGCTTTCACTTCTTCCTTCAGACCCAGGTGCAACAGAGTTCACCAATTTGACTGAACAAAAAATAACCGGATTATCTACAGTAAAAATAACGGCAAATTGCCTCCAGCAGCATCTTAGAGCGAGACACACAGATTGATGACACCCTAGGTAAAATTTGGCGATCCAGATTGCCTGTTTTTGTAGTGAACTTTTTTCAAAATAATTATGAAAATAAAACTAAAGATTTGTTGGGGTTATAGCTGTAAACTTGTCAAATTTGCTTGCCAATAGGCCTTTAAAATGTAGAATTTTTGTTGATGCTTTTTCAGTAATCAATAGGAGCATGAAAAAACATTCTTTAAAAATGCTAATATTGCCACTTTGCGGAAAAACGAAATTTGAGTTACTGTTAAAATCCTTGGGCACGACTTTAAATTGTTCGAAATTATCATAAATGGAGGATTCAAATTGAATGAACATTTGAATTTTTTTGTGGATTTTTTTTCTCCTGTCTGTTTAGATCACTGACATCAACCTCCAAAAAGGTTTGAAAGCTGACTATTAAATTAGTTGAACAGCATCATTACAAAAACAAAAGAAAAAAAATACACACACACACACACAAAACTCCATCACAGGGATGGAAACAGTAATTGAATAAATCTAAACAAATACACCAGGGACGCTCATCAAGACGAATTTTCTTTCTGACATGTTACATGCCTACAACAAGAGACTAAAGAATAAGAATCGTTTTATTGTCACTGTAATGCGAACAACGAAATTTAATGTGCCCACCCATCTGCACTAAGTAGCCGTTTAGAGCTGCGGTATGTGGTCCAATTTTTTTTTCCCAATACGTACAGTACAGTCCTGAAAATTATACCCGTACTGTGCGTTCACAGCCTCTGTATGGAAATGGCACTTGGGAGATCCTCTTCTCGTTTCCAGAAACATGCTGCACTCTTGCGTTCTACGCGACGGCAACAGCAAAGACGCTGACCACGCAGTACATGGTGCGGCTTTCCCACCGCACTGTGGAACTAACTGCAAACACGCAAGGGGCATTACACAACACGCAAGTGGCATTTAAAATCAGCCTCGCTGATGGTTTTCATGTACCGTCCATAGCCGTGTCCCAGTAGCAGGAATTTGCCGTGTGGAGCCCAGCGCCAGTTTTCTGCATCAGGGCGCACGTAACTACGGAGAAACAATGTGATACAATTCATTGGGAAAGTATCATAAATATGACATGCAAAGAGACAAAAGAAGAACAGGGAGAAAAATCAGTGGTCAATTCAGTATGCTGTCCAGCATCAATGTCTCCAGCAGGATTCCAATACAGTTCAATAGAGTGTTACCGTCCGTGACTTACGTGTTTAATGTGCTCTGCGGCCATGCTTGTAACTCAACCATGCATTGGGTCATTTTCGTTCAAACATCTGTTGCATTAAGTTATTTTGACACCACATACATGGGTGCTCTTCATTCACCTATGCCATTTTGTATCATGTGTTAGCATTAAGCTAGCGGACATTAGAAATGATGTGGTCGTTTGAAAAACATGTAATTCTCTGTTTTAGGTTTAGTTTGACAATAAACAGCTTGAAGCCTCTTTCACGTGTCATGTGTCAGACTGCTGCTTGTGGTGAAATGAATGGAATTTGCTGCCACCATATTGAGCTCAAATCGCAATTTTTTTGCTCGCAAGTCAAAGCATAGAGTTGATCGAGTGACGTCTAGTATCGTGAAAATGTGCATGTCAGGTCATTCAATGCTCCCTGTACCATGGTACAGACTTTATCGAACATTTTTTCTGCTTCGGAATAGTACATATTTTACAAGCACCACATCCAAAGCTGAGTCATTAGCCACACACACACACGCACGCACGCACGCACGCACGCACACACACACACAAACAAATATCAACCACACATTGTCCCGTACATTTTAAGGTAACACAACATTTCCTCATGAAACACACCAATGAACTTATACTGTTTGCCCAGTTTGACCAGTTGTGTGAGGCAGCGCTCCACTATGGCGGAGGTCCATTTGTTCACCAGATTCTGGTTGTAGTCATCGCCGCCCACTACGTTCTCAATACACTGAGAGACAAGCACATGCATACACAAACACACACAGAGTAGATGTCAGATGACAGCACAGAGTCTATGACTCAACAGGGCAGATTGAAGTGGCAAACAGAGCTTCTTTTAACATATGCCTCGGGCCTTCTCATTTAGAAAAAAATAAAAATTGGCATGTAGTTAGTAACGGAATACGAATATTAATATGGAAGCCAAAGGAGTCAAAATTAAATTCATAAAAACAATGAAAAACAGACAAATAAATCATAAGGCATTATAGTGTAAAATAAGGTAATATTTAATTACAATTAAATATCACATTGATAATTTTAACCATGACACACTTTTGAAAAATACCTTCTTACCAAGTCAAGTTTTAATTTCATGATGAGCTTTTCCACAATGGCCTTTTTATTTCCACACAATGATTTGGTCTGTCAAACACATCACATGAGGGGGAGCCAGGGAAATAATTGGCTAACCCTTTACACAGACATGAGAAGCAGTGCTCGAGCCTTATCACTCACTAATACCGAGAAATCTGAGGGCCACGAGACAGAATGGCTGCAGGGGAGAAGCCAGTTTGAGAGTTACTCCGAGAAGTTGAAAATCATGTGAATAGTAACACAAGGCCATTTACATCAGCCTGAGAGAGGATTGCAGCAGCAGGTTGTGTGGAAATCCAGATAATAGTCCAGCATTGACGCGACCAAATGCTAATGCATAGTGGTGACCACACTCAGAGGTGCAACCCATTAACTTTGATTGACAGACCAAGTCATTGTGCTGAAAAACATCATTATGAAATAAAAAGGGCATTGTGGAAACCGACATTATGAAACAAAAATTAACAAAATGTTTTATTTAATAAATCTTGGAAAATAAATACATTATTTTAAAACATAAAACATTGTCAAAATAATCATTATATATATTAAATGATGAACAAAATAGAAAAGAAGAGTCAGAACATATTTCATCATAGTACCTTATTTTACAATTGCTCTCATTTATGAAACAGGCATATACAGTATTTCAAAAGGTTTATAATTTAATTTTGACTTTTTTGGGCTTCCATACATACTGCTCCTCTCCCAAAAATCTGCCATGTTAAATCTCACACAGGAGTAACACACACACACACACACACACACACACACACACACACATAGTAATTATGTCTATAAATTTCAATATGGTGTTGAAAAATAACTTACCTCCTTAACAATGCTATCGGCTTCTTCGGTGTTGAATGAGCCCTGAAAACAGTAAGATATGATGAATAATAATTTGAGTGCAATACTGTAGAAAATATTTTTTCTATCGCTCTTAAAGGCAGCCTACTATACATGCACAGACCAGTAGTAGTAGTAATGTACCGTTTTCCAATCCATGTATTAGGAATAATGGTAAAAGTGCCACAGCGTGTCATGATTGACGTTCCTTCGAATACACTGCACAGTACTCCTACGAACTTGGAGGCTGGCTCACTGATATTCGCAAACAAGCATTTAACTATTCCACCGCGATAAAGGAATGACACAACTACAAACCTCGTTATGATATTCGTCCATTTCGTCGTCTTTGACTCTTGGAACGTTCACACAAGTGTTGTTTGTGAAAATACAGCAAAGCCGCCGGGACCAGTCAACGACTTGCTGAGAAGAGCAATTTAAAGAAGGCGTTTTGTTCACTCGTGACATCTGCTGGTTGGAAGACTGTCGCGTCAACTTTTGATCCAGTGACTTCGTAACGACTTTTAAAACATTTGCATACCTCAGCAGGTCAACAAAAACACCGACTCGCCGATCATTTGTGCTGTCTTCGTCCGTCGCCACATCTGAGAAGAATACATAGGTGCAATCCCAAAATGTGTTTGTGCTTTTATCGCGCTGGCACCCACCTCCATCCAATCTCATCACATTAATTGAATTCTAGCCTGGCTGAATCTTGAATCATTAGTTCTTGCAGAAGTCATTATCCTTGAGGTTCACATACTTTTCCCACCTTGCACTTGACATTTACATCCGTTCAATTTAAACAAACATAAAAAGTTATTTGAACCGATATTAGCTTAATTGTTTGTCTGTTGTGACTTATGAGAAGATCGGATCAAATTTTATGACCAATTGATGCACAAATCCAGGACATTTCAAAGGGTTCACACAATGCTTCTTACCTGTATACGTTTCATGTCATTACATTGTCATCACGATCAGCCGAATTAGATGACGCACTACTACCAATACTTCCAGACAATAAGCGCATGTCGATGATTGTAAAATATTCCCCATCTGGATCTGTGCTTCTTTTTACATGGAGAGCGTGACAACCTTTGGCGCTTCTGGATCACACCGTATTCACCTTTTGCGCGTTACCTCACAGCCTTCGGAGCAACGCCCCCTCCGCCTTAGTTGGATGTACTGTACTAATAGACAAAGGTGTAAACCAAACTGGGCTTTTTATCACACACCTGCTGATTAAAATAAAAGACGGCGATGAACAGCAGCAATCAACCGAAATGACTGGCAGCCCTCAATGTATTCGAGATTTGCAGCGATCATTTTTTTACAGGGTTAGTAGATTACTGTTCATATATTATACTCATAACCATTAAATGACTGCATGTTGCTTTGCGCAAACAACAGGACGGGATGTGTAAAAAAAAAAAATCACGTGACGTAGCTGCAACGGATCAATATAGGTACATTCATGAACAACAATTGAATGAGACGTGTCATGAAAGATATATTTTAAATCCAAACTACAAGCTTGTCCCCTCTTAAGTAATCTTCCTGGAGTCTAAAAAGTTGCTCCATTATGGCGATGGATGTATTGTATTGTATTGTATGTTCTTGGCCACAAGTCACTGATAACAAAATACTGGATCACAATGAGCAGAAGAATTGCTTGGGAAATCTCATGAAATCTGACACTGTTGGTGTTTATTCGGATTTCTATCATTATGCTTTACTGATATCCTCCGTCTCCAAATAAAAATTCCATCCATCCATTTTCTAATCAGCTCATCCTCACGAGGGTTGCGGCTGTGCTGGAGCCTATCCCAGCCGTCTTCGGGCAGTAGGCGGGGTACACCCTGAAGTGGTTGCCAGCCAATCGCAGGGCACACATAGAGGAACAACGATCCACGCTCTCACTCACACCTCAAGACAATTTAGAATGTTATTTTAACCTGACATGCATGTTTTTGGAATGTGGGAGTAAACCAGAGTACCCAGAGAAAACTCACACGGGCATGGGTAGAACATGCAAACTCCACACAGGGAGGCCAGAGCCAGAATCGAATCCAACACCTCTGCGCTGTGAAGTGGATGTGCCAACCAGTTAATCACCGTGCCGCCCCAAATAAAAATTTTGAAACAAAATGAAAACGTCATGAAATCAGTCAGGTTATCTGACATGTTGGTATTTATTCGGATTTATATCAAAATGCTTTGGTGATATTGCCTCTCACATATTAACATCCATCCGTCCATCCATTCATCCAGTCCATCCATTCATCCATTCTCTAATCCGCTTTTCCTCACAAGAGTTGCGGGTGCGCTGGAGCCTATCCCAGCTGTCTTCGGGCAGTAAGCAGGGGACACCCTGAACTGGTTGCCAGCCAATCACAGGGCACACATAGACGAACAACTATTTGTACTCATAATCACACTTAGGGACAATTTAGAGTGTTCCATTAGCCTGCCATGCATGTTTTTATAATGTGGGAGGAATCAGGAGTACCCGGACAAATGCACGTTTCTCCATTGTGGGACAAATAAAGGATTTCTTATCTTATCTTATCTTATCTTATCAAAACCCTCGCAGGCACAGGGAGAACATGCAAACTCCGCACAGCAAGGCCATAGCCAGAATTGAACTCTGCATCTCTGCATTGAGGCAAACGTGCTAACCAGTCAATCATCGTGGCGCCCACCTAACATTGCAAAAAAAAAAAAAAAAAAAAAAGGTTTTTACAAATTTGACACATTTCAGTGAATATTAATACACATGCAGCTCATACTAAAAGTGCAAATGTGCTCCAATATTTTTTTTAAAATGGCATGACGATTAATATTCAGGCACAGAGAAAGAGAGACAGAAACACACACACACCCACACACACACACACACACACACGCGCGCGCACACACACACACACACACACACGCGCGCGCACACACACACACACACACACACCCACACACACACACACACGCACACACACACACAGACACACGCACACACAGATCGAGCTCAGAGGAGGTTGCAGGCTCCAGAGGACTGTCTTCTTGCCAGGTTTCTTTGTGAATCAGCACTGCCGAGATAAACTGGTAATGGAGTTTGCGTCTGGCCCTGCTGGGAACTTGAGTTTGACAGCCGCCTGAAGAGTGACAGCTGAAACAGACCACACCACATCGGTTGAGACATTCCCTGCAATCCAATAGTTAAATTGAACAGTCACCTTTTTCACATTCCTAATTATCGAATATGTAAATGCAGGGTGTCCTAAAAGTCACTGCACACTTGTTTTTTAAATATTTATTTGGCTCCTTTTTTTATTCAGACAGACGTCAGGCCATCAGTATTTGACAATTTAGGCTTTGCAGTTTTTGAAAGCCAATCATCAACTGACAGCAGCGCTTCAAAAGGCTCACCAGGCAAGAAGTTTTCCCATCCATGACTGCAGCTCAGCGCCAGTTTAAAAAGATCCATGATTGTCATACTGCTGCCGGAGCACAATTTATGCTACCAAATGTCTCAAAACATTTGGTAGCATGTTCTTGACAAACCAAGCAGCAGAGGCCTTCTACGACCAACACTGATGAAAACACCCAACTCCTGGAGCAGGTGTTTTGTGCAAAGTCAGGGAAAGTTAATCTGGACGGCTGCACTGGAAGTCACCATCCACAAAAGCTTGATTCAACAGATGCTTGGAAGACTGATAAAGCTCAAGACAATCACATGTTTGATGTGCCCACAATAAACATTGTGTGGCGGATGAGTTAAGCAGTAAAATCCACTTGTTTTTATCCATCTCAGGGGGCGGCCATTTTGCCACTTACTGTCAATTGAAAATGACATCAGAGTTGCTCAGGGTTTAGGTAATAACCAATAACCAATCACAGCTCAGCTTGCAAATGTCATATGACCAAACTCAGAAAACAGGTGAGCCGTGATTGGTTGACTTTCCCTGACTTTGTGCGAATACCTTCTATAGGAGCAGTGTTTTTACCATTGGTGGCAATCGCAGGCCTTATGCTGCGTGGCTTGTTTCAAGAAGCTTGCCATGGAAGGCGTCGATTGTACACGCATTGAAGCAGTGTGATGGCCATTCGTAAATCTCAAAACTGGGGCTGAATTACAGTCGAGGACAGAAAAAAAAGATGTCTTGCCAGGTAGCAGTTTTACAACTCTGCTCCAATATTAACTGGCGTGCCAAGGACAAGGGAATCTGAAGCTTACAAAAACTACACATTCTGTCAAATGCCAATAGCCTCACACATCCGTCCAAACGATACGTAACACCAAATCGAAAGAAGGATTTGTACAGTAATTTTACTTGTAAGTGTTCACCTTTTTTTTGGTAGACCCTGATTGGCTCTTTGAGGCAATGTCTGCCGTCCCATTGGCAGGTTGCATGTCACCAAGTCTTTTTTCATCGGCACCGTTGTCATCCTCATTGCCCTCTGGTGTTGTGCTGAAAAGCTCCGGTGCTTCGTTGTGCGGCTTCCCAACAGGGGGAAATTCTTCCGACAGCTTGACAACATTCTGCAGAGATTCCCCCAATTCCTGCGCAGGCATTCCTCCTGCATCGTAATCCTGATTCGACTCATCTTCTTCATCTTCCTCACCTTCACTCTCACTCTGACCGGATTCTTTGGTGAAGTCCTGACAAAAAGTTTGTAAATTAAACAAAGGAGAGCAGTTGAGGAGCATCTGCGTTTTCAATTGTGCTCTCAGTCAGACATGGGTGAAGCTAAGACACACAAGAGTACGAAGATATTTAAGACTCAAAAGTCTTTCTCTACCTAACCTAATCAGAACACAATAATCGATAGAGTAGCAGCAGTTAACGCTACTGCAAGAATGGATGGGAATTGACTAGAGGAAGGGGTTGGGATCATCAACAGGAAGATCTGGTTGAAGGAAGAAAACAAGCCCCACCTGCTACTGAATGCGGCCATTCAAAAGGTTCATCCTGCAGCAACAGCATGTGAGTCCAGATTGAATTTTTACCCTACCATGTGGCATTTACACATCGGGAAAAAAAAAAACAAACCCAACAAACTTCCCAAATGAATGTCGGAAAGCATTTCATCAATGGCATGCAGTTGGGGTCTTCAAGGCCTTGTCTGCTGGCCTAAACAAGATCAGAAGCACTGACCTACCCTAGATACTTTGCATTTGCATTCAATCATTTCAGTGTATTAAATACATTTCACAGTGCGAGTCTTGGCTGCCCAGCTTCTTGTCATTTGTTCGCTAGGATTTTTTGGGCCAATCAGTTTGGCATCTGTGTTGCCATGTCAATATAATCTGCCCGTTGCCTTCAATGCCATTCGTGCTGGCTGAAGACACATACAAACTATAAGGCAATGGCTGTTTTTATTTATTTTTTTCCCAACCAGATTTCAGATTCACCACTCTCAGCTTGATGTCGGCATTTTTCTGTCCTGCGTTGCAATATGCGGACAATCATATTGAAACGGGACGTGTGCTGCCTAGATCAAGTGGGAATCATAACAACATGCAGGTGACAAGTTTTAATGCTTTTGTCATGTTATTAGATAAATATTGATTGTCAATTGCTATTTTGGAACGTACCGAAGAGGTTTGGAGTTGTTCAATGATTTTTCTTGCTTTAGTCATGATCCATCCTCAAATACACAGTGTCCATTTGTGCTTTTTATATACAGTATTATTTTGCAGTGTAATACAGTAGTGGTGGTATTTAAAGGTGGAAGAGGATCCCTACGTCCCTATTCAAGGCCCAGGTCCAAAATGCTCAAACGCCACTGCATTTCATATCACAATAAAAAAAAATTAAAACGACCATTTATTCCAAAATGCAGGTTGAAATCAAATAAAGAACAATTGCATTGGTTTAGGCATGAAGAGTTCCAATCAAAATAGAACAAGAATATTGCGTAAGGGTTATCTGAGGTTGAGGTACTGCGGTAGAACGTCATCCCAGAACTCTTCTGACTCGCCAGCTGCATTACCTTTGAATGCTGACCTCGGTCGTCTCTGAGCTTTAGCTAGTTTCTTTTTTACCTCTTCCTCCTCCTCCTCCTCTTCCTCTTCATCCTCACTTTCTTGCTCCTCCTCTTCAGTCTTGCCCTCGTCTGCAGTCTCCTCATCTTCACTCTCCTCCTCCTCCTCATCTTCACTCTCCTCCTCCTCCTCCTTCTCACCTTCACTCTCCTCCTCCTCCTCTCCGCTCTCCCCCTCCTCCTCCTCCTCCTCTTCACTCTCTTCCTCTTCATCATCCCCTTCCTCTTCACTCCTATTCTCCTCTTCTTCATTTTCCTCCTCCTCCTCTTCCCCCTCCTCTTCTTCAGTCTTCTCTTCCTCACCTTCTCCTGATTCATTTCCACTTTCTCCTTCCTCACTGCTTTCCCCCTCTTCCTCTTCTTCACACATGTCATTATCACTTTCCTTCAAAGAAGCAGACTCTTCTTCCTCCACTTCCTCTTCCTCCTCACTTCTATGCTCCTCCTTGTCTTCACCTTCTGATTCATGACCCGACTCTTCCTCCCCTTCTTCTGTCTCTTCTTCAACACTCAAATCTTTGCTCTCTTTCTCTTTGTCCTCTGTTTCTTTTCCAAGAGGTTGGGTTTTCTCCTCTTCTTCCTCTTCTTCTTCTTCCTCTTCTTCTTCCTCCCCCCCCTCAACACTTTCACCTTCTTCCTCCTCATCAGTTCCTGACTTGTCTTCTGGCTTAAGAGTGTCACTATCGTCTTGTTCAGTGACTTTCTCAGAGTTTTGACTTGCCGTGACCTCTTGCTCGCTTCCACTTGTCACCTTGCTCACCCGCTCTTCCTCTTCAACCTCTGTCTGTCCGTCCTGGTCAACGTCCTCCTTGTCCTGTTTGACTGAGTCCTGAAGGCTTTGTCTTCCTCTTTCGGATGAAGGACTGCTGCTGACACTCAAGGCAGAGCGATTGCTGTCAGATAGAGTCGCTCTGTCCGAGGTGACATGGTGGCTGCTCTCAGACGGCGAAGGCAAAGTGAAGGCCGCCACCTCCTGGAGCAACGAAGCAGCTCCAGCGACCAGGTGCAAAGACGACATATCTTCAGCATTTTTGGACTCCGCCTCTTTTCTGTTTCTCCCATTTTTTGATGTTTTAGGATCTTTGGAGCAGATTTGCTTGGGTTTAGCTTTCCCCTCAGGCCGCTCTTGTGAGCTCAATTCACACGCATCGCTTAAACTGATTTCTGAAAACTGCTTTGTGACTCGGGTTGGTTTTCCTTTGTATTGTTTTGAAATGGCTTTTTGTTCCCGTTCGGGTTTCTCTTGCTGAATCGTGGATGCCGATGGCTGAAGCTGCCGTCTGCCCGCTGCTTTGAGGTCTGCTGAACCCTGCATGGAAGCTGCGATACGGTTCTCCTTGTTCTGCTTGGTCATCTTCTGAGAGCGAGCACTTGAGCTCTTCATGAGCTTGGTGGGTGCCGCTGTGCGAGCAGCCACAACCTCACGCTTATGGGATAGCGACGTTGAAGAGAAGCCAGGCCGCTCCGAGAGTTTGCTCTCTTTTAATGGTTTCTCTTTCTGACTCGTTAAGGTTTTACCGTGTTTACCCTTCTTCTATACCAGGAACCAGAGAGAAAGAGGATAGAAAAGAGGCATGCATTAGCGAGTATGGAAAGGCAGGACAGAACAATCACACAATCTCAAGTCATAAAACCTGAGGATAAATGGCTACAAGGTGGGAAGGAGTCAGTTGTTCTCTTGGAGCTGACACTTGTGAGTGACAGCACTACGAATCGCTATAAAAGAGAAATCCTCAGCAGAATGTAGAATGGAAAAGATCTGTTGTATTGGAAGCTCACGTGTAAAGATCTAAGAGGGTCATCAAAACACGTGTGAGTCACCTTGTGAAGTGGAGAAAGCGTGAGTATCTTATCACCAGGGTCCATCTTCATCATATGGGTCTGTTAACCGGAAAACACGAGAGTAGCCGTAAGCACAAACACCACTTTGGCTGCTGGGGCTTTTGTTCTCTCACCATGTTGAGGAAATCTGTAGTTTCTCCCAAACCTTTCACACTGTCTGTGTCACTCAGGCTCTCCACAATGTCGTCACCCTGGCCCGCAGACGGTTCTAATCATGTACAACACAGTTTGAGGAACAAGCATTAGTCAATCAAATCTTCTGAAAAAACGGTGACATTCATCCGGAAGGATGTCACAGCAAGTATATGATGCTGCATATGGACCAGTATAGAGATGAAACTGTCTAATATCTAATACTGCCACATTCTTTTTCATATTACCGGGTGTTTGCCGGTCAGTGAACCAGAGAAGATGGAGTGAGGTAGATACCCTTGTTGCCATGTCGATGAGCGCTATGGAGCACCTTTCTGTGGGCCAGTTCTGATGAAGGCAGGTTGGGCACGGTGGTGTGGCTCAAGACGGGAGGTGGTGGCTGGAGGTAGCTTGACGTCACCGTGGGCGATGTTCCGGACATGGTGCCTAACTGCTCCGGTAAATGTTCCTTTGGTGGTGCGATTGACAAAGCACAACATACCTAGCTTCACTAAACTATGGTCCTGTGTCACTGTTTAAAACAAACTAAAAACTGGCTGAACCACCATTTCCTTGAACTAAATCAAAACAAAACTGAAGAAATTAATTTCAGCAATAAAGTAAAGTCCTGACCAGAACAAAGAGATCAGAACATATTACTCTAGTTCTAGAGACTTTAGACTGGCTCCCAGCCAGCTGTAGAATAGATTTTACAATTATGCTTCTGGCCTATAGATCACTGAATAGCTTAAGACCTGAACACATGAAAGAAATTCTTATAGAAATTCTTATGAATTTAAACCGAGTTCTGAGGTCAGCAGACTCAGGACAATGAGTGGAGCCCAGTGTTCAAAGCAAACATGGTGCAGCAGCATTCAACTGTTATGCTGCATGCAAGTGGAATAAGATGCCAACAGAGCTGAAGTTAGCTCCAAGTGGAAATGCTTTTAAATCCAGGTGAAAAACTATGCCCCCACCCCCATGATTAAGGTCTTTTAGAGTATTTGTGGTCATCTTTTCCAAAACCATGCTCTTGCTCTGTACATTCTGTTAGCAATTTTAGCAAAGTACTTTTTAATTCTCTATTTTGCTTTTAAATCTTTTAAATGAGTGTTTTTCTTAACTGTCGTCAAATTCAGTTGCCTTTAAATATTGTTTTGTAACTCTGTGAAGCACATTGAGCTACCTTGTGTATGAAACGCACAATACACTGGAAATAAAACTGCCTTGCTTTGCCTCGCCACGCCTTAGCAGAAGTACATGTGCATGTGTTCAACCCACCCTTTCCCTGCGGCGAACACGGGCCGGGTTGGAGGTGTCGCCCAGGTCCCCCAGTAGCTCCACATACGGCTTCTCCAGGTAATCCTCAGTCACGTCATTGTCTTCCAGCAAGACCGCGCCGCAGCTCGCGTCTCTGGGTCGCGCCAGCACGACCATGTGGCAACCGCCGCAAACTGCCTGCAAGCGGTCCCATCATTCAAGCTTTGTGATGGTCACCCATGTGTGAGTCCGTGTGAAGGAAACAACATACTTCCTGGACCTGGCACTTGATGAAGCGCGGACACAGAGTTGGCTTGAACTGGTTGGTGAAGTTTTCTTCTCCCAGACCCAGTTTGCCATGTCTGCCGTCACCAAAGGTGTAAAGCAGACCCCTCTCTGAAAACAGAAATAACCTTCATTTTCATAGCACCTTAAAAAATGAAATGGGGTGGTAGGATAAATAAAAAGGAAACAAAGATAAATTCATTAAAAAAATAATAAGATTGTGTTTGTGTGACTTTTAAAAAGTAATTATAAAGATGTCACCAATTGTACGAAACTAAATAAGGATATTTTGTATGTAGCCCTGCTAGTCTAAACACGGAACAGTATTCTGATTAATATTGTGGAATAAGAATCAAGCATATTAATCAATCCACTTTCATCTATCTGAGAGGGCCACCATTCTGTCCAATTCCGCATTCTGCTGTCGACTGAAATTGACGGACGGGCTCAAATTGAAGATTTTACTTGACCAAATGCCAAAAACAGGTGAGGCCTGAACCTTGCAATTCGAGGTCGAGAGCAATTTGACAGCAATTAAAATTTTTGCATTTAGTTTCAAATACAGGTGCAACACTTCATTAATTGACAAGTCATCAATTATCAAATTAATTTTTTTTCAAGGAATCATTTATTTTCCCCTTTTAATTTGAAATTGCCAAATTTCAGTAAATATTCTGCATTTTGTGCAGTCCTCCTTGAAAGCAGACTGATTATCTTTGTGTTGAATCAAAAAATTTTAAAAAATCTATTTTTATTATGGAAAACAATGATGAACATTTTTGCCTTTTTTCTGATGTGTTATGAATCAAACCAGTAAGTGAAGCATAATTACCGGTAATGTATGTTTGTGCATTTTCTGCACTGTCAATTTGAAATAATGTCGTGGAAATGGAAACATGGATTTTTTTTTAATCCTATTCACTGATTAATCGACAGATTAATCGATTATTAAAAGAGTATTAGTTGCAGCCCTACTTTCAAATAATTCAAAGTAATTTAAAATGTTTGCTTTTGGTTCCCATTTCACCGACGATACGGGACAGAACAAGAGCGCAGCTGTCAAGACACCTGTGATGACCGCTGAGTGGTTCTCGCCGCATGCCACCTGGCACACTCGACCTTTCTTGAAGTGCTCTATCTGGCGCGGCAGCCGTGATTCAAATATGAATGTGCCATGGCCCAGCTGACCAAACTGACCCAGGCCGAAGGCATAAACTCCATTCTCTAGAAGACAGAGAACACAATTGTGGCTGCCAATAAGTCTACTCAACACAATTCTTTTGTTTTTGTTTTTTGTTCTTACCTGTAATGGCCACAGTGTGTCCGCCACCACAGGCCACCTGAGTGACCGGCTCAGGCATGCTCTTCACAATTTGAGGGAATCGATGATGAGCCAGCTGGTCTGTTCCCAGACCCAGTTTACCACTGTCCCGCTCTCCGAATGTGTACAGAGCTCCGTCCGCTAACAGTCACAAATATATGTTTCTCAAGAACAGATAAAAAAACATGGAGCCCGATTTACTAAAATCCAAAATAGTGGGCAGTAAACTACGTGCTTAGCTGTCATGACTCCTGACTGTGACTGACAAAGAAGTGAGCCGTTAGATCATTCATAAGCTACAAAATTGCATTGCTAAATAGACCATATGTAATATTTTTTTGTTTGTTTCTGGCATTTCCAAAATGTTCAGAAAAGCAGAAAGCATCCATTTCTCCAATCGGCTTCCACATATATATTATTGTTATTTCATATATATTCCAGATACGGTTTCCAAATATTTTAGCACACCTGTCACATACGCAGAGTGGTAGTATCCACAGGACACCCATGCGATGGGCTGTCCCGCGCTGACCTCCTGAGGCGAACATGCATGGCTCTCCTTCCCCAAGCCGACTTGACCCTCTGAGTTGTCCCCCCACATGAACAGCTTACCGCTCTCTTTAGATGAGGAGATGGGGAAAAAGAAAAGCAATCACCATTCGACATGATCTGCTTTCAATTTACGGTGGTGAGCCAAGGGAAGGTGATGTTGGAAGTGGCCCAGTATCATCATGGGACTATTTCTATTGTTGTTGTGCCCATAGTTCTCCTATCACCTCAGAGAGCCAGGGTTTCTTCCGAAGAGGGCGTTTTCCTTGTCCTCGCCGCCAAGACTGCAACGTCTCTGTGCTTTATTCCACCAAGCGGTCAGGAGACTCAACTCCCTCCATGTTCTGCCCGCACTCCGTCCCCCCCACCCCAGCATCTGACATCCGATTATTGCACCTAAACAATTTACTACCTAAGGTGTAACCCGCAATAATCACAAGTGCCCTTGGTTGTCTGTTGTTGCTATTTAATGTTTATTTGTTCATATTTATGTCATATTTATGTATTTTTATGCAGTTCAGGTTGCTGCCATGATTTTTAGCTGTGTGTGTTTCAGTGCACTACATGTTTGCACTGTGGGTGAGAGAGGAAAGTAATTTCATCTGTGCTGTATGTTGCACATAGAGCATATTTGACAATAAAACTGACTTGACTTGAAATGCTTGCTCATTTTGGGTTCAGTTGGTTTTCTTTCACGTAGGAGTGTGCTTCTTGATCTGTTCATTGTGCACAATGATCATCTCTGTCGCAAAATGGCGCTAGAGAAATATAATTGACTTGACTCCCATGAGTCACTGCAGCTACAACTGCCATCGACAGCTGACATGTGAGTCCTCAAGTGTCTCACCAGTGAGGGCAGCTGATGTGTTTGAGCCAGCAGCAAGCATTTTGATTGGCCCGCAGGAATCAAAGAACTTCAGTCTCTGGAAGGACGTTCGCTCATCGCAGTCGCCGAGACCCAGTTGACCCTCACTGTTGCCGCCTGTGGCGTACACATGCCCCTGAGCTAGAGAGGAAAGGAAGATGTGAGAAGAGTGGCAAAAAGTCTCCATGCGATTATGTGATTCTGACCTGTACAGATGAGCGTATGGTTTCTTCCACAGGCCACGAGTTGGATTTTTTCTGACTTGAGAGCTGAACACAAACAATACACACGAAGCACAATTCAGTCCACATTGGATCGGTATGCTGGTCACAATTGGTTGACAAGAGGCAGACCTCTGACACAAGTGGGCTTCTTGACTGTCATCTTGGATCCCAGACCGAGCTGTCCCCAATTGTTGCTGCCAAACATGAATAGTTTCCCATTTTCTGTGAAGATAAACACAAGGGCTGCTGTAAAAATGTTTCACTAGTAAACAAAACTCATGATATAGTTTAACAGATGCCGAAGCTACAATTGTTACAAAGGAGAGATGAGCAGTTACCTACTTGTTAACAAGGCCGTATGCTCATCACCACAGGCTATTTTTCGAGGAACATCATTTTTAAGCCAAAATTTACTGGGAACGTTGTCTGCAAATTTACTCTTCCCGAATGTGAAAACTGCTCCGGATTCTGCAAGTCGATGACAGAGGAAAATGTTTTGTTTTGGTTCGTTTCCTTTGTTGTTTGCACGAATTCATCACCACCAAATGTTGAACAGAAAAGCCAATGTATATAAGTTAGTTAAAAAAAAGATTTAAATCATCATAATTTTAGTTAGGAAACTGTGCGTCGTATTGTATCAAATGAACCTTAAATGTGCGAGTCATTGACAGAGAAGCGGTCATTTAAATACATGACGTTTCGACTTTAACGTTGTTTTCAAACGAGAACTTTTTCATCCTGTACTGTATACCATTTGGCCGCTGTAATGAACGACGGCAGCTGAGAGGACTTTAAATCAAACACACGTTAAAAAGGTAAAATAAGCTTTCTACTTACCAGGAATGTGATCCATCTCCTCCCCCGCCATCTCTGCGGGACTTTAATCCGCTTTGCTCCGCGCCTTGGGCGTGTTTGCGTCCCTCTAGTTTGAGCGACGATAACCCGGAAGTAAACACAACATTGCCTTGACTACATATACGTAACCCTTAAAAGGCCAGTACACGATTTAACTTCGCTGTCGCTCCTGCAAACTTCAAATGAGTTAGAGACACGTTTTCAAAACGTAAGGGGGTTCATTTGATTTCATAACTAATAATTTTCCGAAGGGGTCATCATGTGAGAAAATGTAACACTTGTCCAGAGCCGCACCAACATGCTGATGTTAATTTGTATTGTCATTGTTATACTGTAATTCATATGGAGCAATGAACTGTATCGTTTGACGGTGTAGTGCAGTAGCTGCAAAGCTTGCTGATCAGAAGATCTTTTAATCAGGTGTGTTGGAGGAGGTTAAACATTTAAAACTGTCAGGACAGGGGCTTTGCAGCACTGGACTTGGGCACACCTGATGTAGTGGTTCATTCTCCAGGTTTCAAGTTATGCCGTGTATTGCTGATGTATCTAATTATAAGACCACAAGACAGATTTTTTTCCATGACGCTATTAAAGTTAGAACTCAAGAGTGGAGTGTCAAACGGAACACAAATCAAACTCAAGCACCAGGGGCCAGATCTGGACGTCACATCATTTTATGTGGCTCGCAAAAGCAATTTATGTGTGCCAATTTTATGTTTCTTGCTAAAATAACAAAATTGCAAATTGTCTTCACTTTGCTTGCAATGCCTCAACATTGCTTGCAATGTCTCAACATTTGAGACATTGCAAGCATTTTGTGTTACCAATCCTGCTTTTAAAATAAATGTAATATCTGAACAGGTTTTACTGGCCTCTGTGGGAAGCCATAACTATGATGTGTTCCACGACAAAAATGAGTTTGAGAACACTGTGTAGTTTGAGAGAATTTATTGGCAATTATAAAATTGTGTTGTTGAATAAAGACAGTCACAACAATGAACCAATTCATTCGACAAAGTTCTTGTGAGGTCTGAATTGCCGGTCACCCAGCAACAGACTTGTTGGTTCACCTGAGATGTGCTTTGAGCTTCTCGTTATGCAATCGTACAAGCGGAGGAGAGCAGGGCAAACATGATACAGTATTGCATTTTACATCAGTTGAACAGTTACTATTTCATACAGTGAAAAATATTTAAATACAAAGAATCACTTCACATGCGACAGAGCAAAAGCCTGAGAATGTTAAATAGTGAATTGTAAATAGTAAATAGTGTTGCATTTACAGTTAGTACTCTTCCCCCTCTTCCTCCTCTTCATCCCCGATGGTGTCTGTGCCCACCTCCTCGTAGTCCTTCTCCAGGGCAGCCATGTCCTCTCTGGCTTCGGAGAACTCTCCCTCCTCCATCCCCTCGCCAACGTACCAGTGCACAAAGGCCCTCTTGGCGTACATCAGGTCAAACTTGTGGTCCAGTCGGGCCCATGCCTCGGCGATAGCAGTGGTGTTGCTCAACATGCACACGGCTCTCTGGACCTTGGCCAGGTCTCCCCCAGGGACTACAGTTGGAGGCTGGTAGTTGATACCCACCTTGAAGCCGGTGGGACACCAGTCCACAAACTGGATGGTGCGCTTAGTTTTGATGGTGGCGATGGCGGAGTTGACATCTTTGGGCACCACGTCACCGCGATAAAGCAGACAGCATGCCATGTACTTGCCATGGCGAGGGTCACATTTCACCATCTGATTGGCTGGCTCGAAACAGGCGTTGGTGATCTCTGCGACGGAGAGCTGCTCATGGTATGCCTTCTCTGCCGAGATGACGGGAGCATAGGTCGCCAAGGGGAAGTGGATGCGTGGGTAAGGCACCAGGTTGGTCTGAAACTCTGTCAAGTCCACATTCAGAGCGCCGTCAAAGCGCAGCGAGGCGGTGATGGAGGAGACAATCTGACCGATCAGCCTGTTGAGATTGGTGTAGGTGGGACGCTCAATGTCCAGGTTCCTACGGCAAATATCGTAGATGGCTTCGTTGTCCACCATGAAAGCACAGTCGGAGTGCTCCAGGGTGGTGTGTGTGGTCAGAATGGAGTTGTATGGCTCCACAACAGCCGTTGACACCTGAGGTGCCGGATAGATGGCAAACTCCAGTTTGGACTTCTTGCCATAATCCACCGAGAGACGTTCCATGAGCAGAGAAGTGAAGCCAGAGCCAGTTCCTCCTCCAAATGAGTGGAAGATAAGAAAACCTTGGAGTCCAGTGCATTGGTCAGCCTGCCAGAGTGAAGACAGTCATATGTCGAAAAACGTACCTCTGATTAGATTATCCAGTAAAGCTCACCAGTTTTCGAACCCTGTCCAGAACGAGGTCAATGATCTCCTTGCCAATAGTGTAGTGACCTCGGGCGTAGTTGTTGGCTGCATCTTCCTTTCCAGTGATCAGCTGCTCAGGATGGAAGAGCTGACGGTAGGTTCCTGTGCGTACTTCATCTACAGCAGTAGGCAAAGATTGACAGATGCACATTTTGCATACTGTAAATGACTGGAGGGTTTGTTCTCTCACGAAACTACTTGCACCAGTCTTGTCCCGTCTCACCGATGACTGTGGGCTCCAAGTCCACAAAGACTGCTCTGGGAACGTGTTTGCCAGCTCCGGTCTCACTGAAGAAGGTGTTGAAGGAGTCATCTCCTCCTCCGATGGTCTTGTCGCTGGGCATCTGCCCGTCCGGCTGGATGCCATGCTCCAGACAATACAGCTCCCAGCATGCATTGCCAATCTGAGCCCCAGCCTGGCCAACGTGGACGGAGATACATTCACGCTGCAGAGAGATGTTGTTCAGAGGTCAAGAACAAGAACTAAACCCTACACTGTCGTAAATCTTTTCCAAGTAACAACTTAAGTTTGATTTACGCGTGAATCGATCGGAATGTTTGTGTTCACTTCTCACCATGACTGCTGAAGTGGTCTCTTGTTCACCTGAGACGAGAGCTTGGGGATGTTGTTGCATCCAAAAGCGGGACGCTGTTTTATAAGTGCACCGTTGCCTGGCAACAACCTGGCATGTTGTGGCAACCGAAGGAGCTACGGAAGCAAACACTATTGGAGGAGGTGCACCGAAAGGCTCACACAAGTCTGACCTCTGACAATGGTTGTTGTTAGTAACCAGCAACGAGTGGCTGTGCTGTGAAATGCGACGCGCAACTTCTGCATCTCCTTGTGTTTCACATCTTACATACACCTGCCTATTTAATTCTTCACACTCTGTGTTTAAGTGTGTATAAGTACAGATACTTGTGTAAGAAAAGATTGAAAGACACGAGACATAACGAGAGCAGTGATTCAACTGAAGCTTAAGTAATAAAGTACAGACTTGTAAGAATAACTATTTACTCTGAATTATATACAATGCCCATTTTCATAACATTGCACAAAAACAAAAAACTTCTGTGCACACAAACTAGTTTCCCTCTTTGATTTGCTTACAAAGTGATCATACCGAGAAGAAGAAATACAAACGTTTCAGGTTACATGTTGCTGTTTAGAGCTAGCTAGCATCGGCTCAACAATGTGTCAATGAGCTTTGCTCATGTTGTGAACTGATTGCTGTTATTGTAAAGACACATGGCGGTTAGGTGTTTCGTCTTCTACACTATATTTTGGGCAAATTGTGGACAAAGACCAGCCAACAGCGTTTTTGTGCTTCTAGAGATTGCAATGTCCCGTAGGACTTGTACGACCATATTCAGTTCATTTCAAGCTCGGGATGAGGTTGAACAGTCGAAATAAAGGCCATCCAACGTTTTCCTTTGTATGTTTTTCCCACGCTGACTACCAGCGTTTTTTTTCCTCCTGAAACAACAAAATTTCAATCAATCAAGAACGCGGCTGTAGTTGACTTTACCTCTCTCGATTAACATAGAAGAAAAGTAGGGTTGAACTTCACAGGGTTCCGATGGACCTGACGAGACTGTCGGTTCCACATGGCCGGAAGTCACTGTTCTCGGGACCTTAAAGACTCAAAGAGATAACGTGCACCTAAAGCTGAAGATGTTTGGTTTTGTGACCATTTCATGTTTGACTTGATTTGTGCCTTCCAAGGTAGCCTGGTAACAGCCGCCATTCAGCTTCCCTGGTTACTTTTTGTTGACTTGCACGGCACATCTCCTTTTGGAGGACAATTAGATGCACTAATCTGTCAACATGGCCGTCTAATTTCACCAACACTGAAATCCTCTCCATTTAGTGCACATTGTCCATCCTTCACAAGGTGGTGGGAAGCATTCACTGTGGATTTCCCATTCCTCCGGGGGCGGTGTAAACTCGGTTTGTACTTAAATCCAAACACTAACCCACTCTACCCTAACACAATTGGAAGTAAATGAAAGTAAAAAAAAATATTCTCGGCCATGAATATAAAGCAATTATATGAAACATTAGTACTGTGTAACCGAGTGTAACAACATTGTGAATAGTTTGTAACCTGGAAACATGAATTTCATTTTGGGGTTTTAATTGTTTCTTGAAGTCACTCCAAAATCAGCATATTGAAAAGGACTTCAGTATAGCAACTAGGACCAGTGACTGACTCTTACCCCAAAAGAAGGATCAAGAGGACATGAGAATACACACAGTTTGTTTGTACAGTCAATGAAGTTTGAGTGTTTAACATTTGTTTTGGTATCTCTCTTAGTTTTAAATAGGACAACAAGCATCCCAAACTGGATTGTGTTTGAAAAAGTTCCATGGGAGCCACCACCGGTGCTTTCATTTTTAATACTCGCTATTCTCACTTTATTTACCAGAAGATTGTATGTTCTCTAGAATTCTAATTAGCTTGTTGGATGCCCAAAAAGATCAAGCATACGCAGCACTTTCTGACAAACGAGGAAGAAGGTCCGCCCTGTCCAAAACGGTTCCTGTTCATATATTGTCTTAGCCTCGCCCACACAGGGGGTGACTTTGCTTAGCCCATGTGGGACTCCTTCACATTTGTCAATTGTCCATCCAGAAGGCTAAACCCATTTGGAATAAACACACAACACGATGGGCTTCATCAATCTTTAATGATAGTTATACTGTATAATACTGTATAATATGAGAGTTTCCACCTGGCTGAACATTGCCAAAACATGTAAATGTGTCCTTCAAAAAGAAAAGATAACGCATGAAAGCAGAGATACTGACATGACAAAGACAATCTTCAAACGAAAGATGAAATATCAAAAGTTTAGGTGAGATTTTCTTTTTTGCATCATCAAACCATCTCGGTTATTAGCACGCGAGTGTCCTCCAGAGCTCTGGTTGGACACAAGTTTCCTCATTGTCACCTCAGCGTGAGCCGTTTTTTTTTTTTTTTTTTTAGCAATGTTCAAAGTTTGTCACTGGCACACTCCATGACTTCCTGTTCCATTTATTTCTTAACAATATTTGTGGGTGAATTCAACACAAATAATGATCTAACATGAAGAAGAAGAACTTCAAAAAGATAGATCCATGTTTTAAGATCTACATATCAGTTGACGTTAATCTTGATTAAGTTCTTCAGTTTCTAAAGGACATCATTTTGGGACTGGCAAATGAGTAATTTCATATTTCATTTTTTATTCCAAATAAATCTGGAAGTACCTCGAGGAAGGAGATGTGAACTTCAAAGTTTCTGCGTGAAATTCTCAGGGAAGACCCCTTTGGATGAAATATCTTTGTTACGTATCCAGAGAGATTCCTGCACGCCCATGAGCCAGCCGTCATCCTACAAACACACATTTTAACAAACATTAGGGCAGCCACACATGCAGCAGTGTGTCAAGTGATTGTGAAGAGACATCACTGACTTGCTCATCTGGGGTGTCGAACGCCAAAACGAGCACAATATCCCCAACATTCAGCTCCAGTTCGTCCCCATCAGTGGCAGCATATTCGTGGATGGCTTTGACCTGGAGCAGGACGTTTGAGTCAGTGCAAAAAGTCACACTTTCCGCTGTTACTGTGACGGTTCACCTTGTAGAGGAACCCAGGAGGGAGCTTGTAATCCGAGCTGTTGGATTCAGAAACCTGCCAGAAAAGAAAAAGAATGTGTGCATTATTTAAGAAGAATCACCAAGGCAAGTTGCTCTCACACACTCAAAAAGAAAAAAAAAAAAAGAAACCGATAAAATGCGGAGTTGAGCAAAAATCTTCAAGAGTTTGTCTCCCACCTCTAAATGCATATTTGCGCTTTGGCAATTGCAAGTTAATATATTTGGACATTTTGGAGGGATCAGGGGGAACATACCCCCTGTAATTTCTGTGAATGGTCACCTACTTGCCGTTTTTGTGCAAAGGAAAGGCCTGTTTCATTCTAAAATATTGCTTGCGCCACATTGTAACTTATTGGTGCCAAGAGAATATGTTGAAGTCGGAGGAGAAGCTTCATTTGTTCAAGACATAGCCTCGTCTAAAACATGTCAGAATGCCACAAGATTTTGCCCCAAAAAATATTGTCCACTTTTGTCTAAATTAAGCTCCTCAGCTCACTTTGACGCAGTTGCTTGGTACCGAGATGCACCAAGGAGGAGTCAAAATAATGCTTTTGTACATGAAGCTCCTCAACTCATTTCAACATACATCCTTGGCAACAAAATGGTGGCAGAGAACAACTTTTGCCTAAGTTAAGCTTCTGAACTCACTTCAATGTAGTTTCTTGGCACCAACATGCCACAATATGGTGGCAAAGCACTACTTTTGTCTAAATGAAGCTCCTCAACTCACTTCAACATTGGTACTGGACACCAAGATGCCACTAAGTGTACAAAAGCAATACTTTTTTATCACTTTGGCCTCATCAATTTGTGAATGGCGAACAGTGTCAATGTGGGTGAACACTGTATGTGACTTTGGATCCTTGAATTCCAGGCTGAGTTCAGGAGCCCAGTGAGAGGTGATGCCTGTTTCAAGAGTCCCTACCTGCACTTGTTCATCATGGGCCCAGCCCCCCTGACCCACATCATAAGACCAAGTGGGCTCAGCGCGGTTCGCCCCACAATTGAGTTGCGGGTCACTCTGGGAGCTTCCTTCATTATAGTACCATCCACCCTCAACTTGCTCCCGGGGCTGCTCCTCATCCCGGGCAACAGCCTGGTCATGCAACAGCATCAAAAGTCGTGGAGTACCGCAGAGGATTTGGAAGCAATAGACGGAAGGATGTTGGCGGGATGTGTTTAGTAGGTGAGTGGGCGGAATTGCCATGGGTGTCAACATGCAGAAGAGGAGAAAGCAACTTTGAGTGAAAAACTTACGTCGCTTTAAAATTCAAAAGGAAGAAAGACCCTTTTTACCGGTAAGTCCCAAGATGGCACCTTCATGCAGCAGTAAAAACAAGTACAGTAGCTTATTGAGGCGAAATGAGCTTCAAATAATGAACCTAGAAAGCTGCAACAGGAATCCAAAATAATCTGTATGTTTGTCGCAGGGGATTACGACCGGGCTTGTGTAAAAGATCTCAATTTAGCAGGGTGACCCATGCGGAGGGCTGACACACACACACAAACACAGAGACACATGGGGGGGTTAGGGTAGGATACTAGACATCCGTCCAACTATCATCTGACCTGTGTTGTTGTTATGGACTCTTTGTTAATATCAGACGTGCTGTCATCAAGCGATTCATCATGCTGGAGAGGCCGGCTGGGCAGCGAGCTGGGCCTCTTCCAAACGCGTGCACATGCAGAAGCGCACACACATTGTCATGATCCTGTCCTGTCCTGTTTTTTTTTTTTTTTTTTTTCCCTCAGTCTGGAAAGTGGGTGTTCCCTCATGATTCCCACCTGACACTAATCATTGAGGTGATGGGATGGAGCAATATGAGGTACAAGTACAAATGCAGGATTTATTTCTTTATTTATTTACCGTGGGTGGCGAGCTGGCTGCATTGCTGTGGTTGGCTTCGTCACTGCAAGACAAAGACAGGAGGAGAAAAGTGACACAAAAAGTACAACATGTACCTGCAAAATGATATCACATAGTTGTGGTTGACAATATAAACAAAGACAAAGACAGTCACAATTACTCAGGTGGCTGCAGTAATATTAGCTGTTCTTTGCAAAGGATAAAGAATGTATGCTGGTGGGTATTGGTCAATTGTCTATGTACATTTTGCACCGTTTTGTGTTCAAACATCCATTGCTCAGAGAGTTGTAACACAACGACACCAGTGGCATTCTTTAGCCCGTCTATAGCATTTTAGCATTCTGTGTTAGCATTGCGCAAGTAGACTTTCATATAAGGCAAAGTTATGTCGTTGTTTTAAATAGATTGTATGTTTAATTTTACAGCTAACTTCAACTGAAACCCCTATGGGTGACACTCCCAAACATGAGGATGAAAATGGACCCAGGTGTTGCAATAAAAGCATGCAGCAGCCATGCAGCAGGTTACCTCTTTGCCTCGTCGCCTGCCTTGGCTGCTGCACCGGCTTTTCTACAGTCGGGGGTGAGGGACATTACTCTATGGGTTATCCCGTTACCGTGATCGCCTCTAATATCGGATGGACTTACTTGAGCTGCCTCTGCTCTTCAAGTTTGGTCATGATGTCATTCAGGTTTTGACTCAGCTGAGGAAGAGGTAGGAGGATAATAACAAAGGATGAAGAAGCTCTTATCAACTCAATAGAGAGGGAAGTCAGAAAAGCTCAGAGTGACTTACCTTGCTCATCTCTTTGTGGAACTTCTCTTGATGACCCGCCAGACTCTGGAATGTGTTAACATAGATGCCAACACGGCTAAAAAAGTGTGTATACACACACACACACACACACACACGCACACACACACACACACACACACACACACACACACACACACACACGTCAGATTGAATGGTTATAAATACAGTAGTACGTTGACCTACAATTTCTCGAATTTATTCAGGAGATTTTTAAATTGTGTTTTCACTAGCTTCTAAGCTGTTAGCCTTTCCAGGCTAGCAGCTTGGAAGCTAGCGGTGATACTATAAAACACGGAGTAGCTGCAGAGGAAGGAGTGAATTCTTGACTAATATTCCAACGGTAGTCAGTTGGAAACTGTGTTACAGTGGGGAAACAAAAACTAGACTCCGAGAAGTGTGTGTGTGTGTGTGTGTGTGTGTGTGTGTGTGTGTGTGTGTGTGTGTGTGTGTCTTTTCCCACAGGTCTCTGTTCTTATCCCTCGTCAATAGTTGGGGTTCACTTTAAAGTGGGTTACAAATTAAATCCTTCAGTCAAGGTACGATTCTGTAATGCTTCGATATGGTGGTACTGTTTCACCTGTCCCACAGCACTGGAAGCTGGTCTTGTAATTCCACATTCAGCTCTTCAAAAATCTTTTGAGAGCGACCCAGCTCTTCCTCGGCCTACATGTATACGCACACACAAACAGAATCCACAACTTCAACTCACTATGATCCAGTGAAGCATATAAACATCTATGCATATAATAATACAAGATAATGCATGCAATAATGCATAACACAAAGAAAAAATGTCCCATCAGAATGGGGCCACCTGAGGCGCTTGAACATCAACTCACAGGCAATGAAAAGCTGTCAGCTGTCATTGTAGACAAACCCATCAAAGCCTTGAACATTAATCTGAATCTTAAGACATTTTTAAATGGTTGCAAACAATAGGCATCAGGGTACTTCCAGGTGGAACAAAGCAAGTGACTACTGCTCACCTGAAACCATGGCAAAAACTTGTGTATGGGGTTGCACAACCAGATTCCCCGCAATTTAATTTTAAAAAAAGAAAGAAAAAAAGAAATCCTTGCAAAAAATGTACTTTTTAAAAATAAATGGGAGACATTTGACAGGAAGTAAGGTGAAGTTAAAAAAAGTCATTAATTAGCACAATTTTTAATATGTATTGGAAAAATGATTGTCTGGGTCCAAATTGTTCTTGGGACCGAATGCCTTACGTTCAGCATATTCAAAGGATTTGAAGTCCATTTTTTAGTATGTGGATTATTTCATCATGAATACATAGTTGTACAGTGAAGATCGCAAGACTGCCGTTTGGCATTGTAACCACTTCTAAAGGTACAGACAAGGAACCAAGCTTAACCTCATAGGGTTTGTTCAAGGCATTGTCTCACAGGTACAGGTAAATGTTGGGTCGGGTTGTCTTTGAGCAATGTAAAGGTTAGCCTCTTCGCTAACATCAGTTCGACAGTGCATTATCCATTTCAGTGGAGAACATTTGGGCTTTTGCGACCCAGAAGTACATGAGCCATCAAGGTGAAATGTCCTCTATGCGTTTGAATTCAGGGTTAATCATCACCTGGTTGTAGGAGAGGTTAGTCTGAGCCACCTGGTGGGCTGAGAGCAAACCCTGAGCCCAGCTTGGCGCTGCCATCTCCAACAGGGCCGCAGGCTGACCACACACACCATGCAGACAAAGGGGAGCAAGACCATTTGGTGGGGGTGGGGGGCGTTGACAATGAGCAAGTGATAGAAGAACAAGACAAAAGGCAACAAAAGTAAATAGGTCCAAACAACAGCAATCTGTTAGTCAGTTTTTGTTCAGTAGACAGTAAACATGGAACAAGACAACACTATTTAAGGCAGAGGTCCTTAACCGGGGGCCAAAAGAGGCTAGTGAAGGAGTTCAATCTGGCCCAAGGATAAATTTGAAAGCGAAACGGTACTGCAGCAACTCTGCAGTTATATTTTAGGATAAGAATTCTAGAATTCTTATCCTAGAGACTGTAAAGGTGAATAGACTGAGTCCTGACTTGTTATTGGATGAAAAAGCCAAGGGTGTGGGACAGGGTAAGGAAGAGGAACTTTTAGCAACACTTAACCTCTTTTGGTTCATCCCTCAAAGACAGAAAGGTCAGATGGTTCTTAATGCTTCATAAAAGGATTGTCTATTCATTATTGAAATAGCTTTTCCAAATATGCTTTTACTGGTTAGCATTAAAATACAGGGGGAAAAAAAAATCCATCCACGCATTTTCTGAAGCGCGAAGCAAGCTGGAGGCAATCCCATCTGTTTTTGGGTGAGAGGCAGGATGCCAGCCAATCGCAGGACATCTAACAAACATGTTTCTACAAAGTAGTACAAGCATGACAAGCTGACACAGTTACCTTGGCGATCTTGGCCTCATCCTTTTTCTTGCCCTTCTGTAAGGAGGCAAAGTGATGTCTGGCACTGTCAAAGTCCACCATCTTACGGTCCCGCTTTGCAATGCGAGCCTGTAAGGGGGCGCAGGAGAGTGAGCAGGTCGTCATTATCCAGTGGACTCACTCACCACTTACTCAATAACACATATCTCATTTACGATATGTCGAGTTAACCCCAGTTTATCGCGGGAGATATGCCACCTGCGGGCAATACAATACAGACATACCGTTACACATGGAGACCTTGACAGCTCCGCAGTAAGCTGTAGTAAATGTAGTCATTTTTCACAGAGAACAAAGAATACATACCACAGAGTATTGTTGTAATTAATGCCTACAAAGTACTTGTGATAACATAAAAAGTGTGGTCCAAGGAAAAAACAAAACAAAAAGATTGTCACATTTGGACAATTAAACACCTTGATATCAGGAAACTGAGTCAGGTACGAATCCAAGGAGAGCATTGAGCTGTCTGTTATGTTCTGATGGAAGTCCAACCACAGAGTGTCTGTGTCCTACAACACACACACACACACACACACACACACACACACACACACACACACACACACACACAGTGCAGTGTAAGATTGAGTACATTCAGTGCAATGCAAAATGTCAACAAAATATCTGTCTTTGTTTCCCGGTGGTTCATTTGGTCTTGAATTCTTGTTACAACATTTTTGACCACTCTAATGTGTTACCTCCAAGTTATTGTCCATCTCCTTCTCTATCATCTCCTTCAGCAGGAAGGACACACGCATGCAGTTAAAGCAAAGAAAGTGACAACAGAGCGAAATAAAAGTGAGGAGGTGCTCAAAAGAAAAAGGCGGAGAAGTTCAATTCAGGAAAAGGAAGGCAGCCAAGATCAAAGGTCAGGATCTCACCTCCACCATGGCGTCCATCTCTTCTTTGCCGAACCACTCGGGCTCGTACATTTCAGCCAGGCAGTCCTGCAGCCTCCGTGATGCCTCGTGCAAAGCTGAAATGTGTCAAAGAAGATCAAGTGGCAGACTGTCAGTTCAAATGAACTGATTGTTGATGAAATGCCAGAACTGTGGAGCACAAAGCATAAGAATAAGGCTGCTGTCCAGAGTGAGGCAGGCAATTTCCCAAGGGAGAGTACTGACAATGTTTGACAAGATGGAAGCACCTGCTGTTGACCCGGCTGCTCACAGATCATCTCCAGCAGCAGATGTTGACCAAAATGACAATGTTGAGGTCACAAGGATAACGTTACACACCTGTGGCCATATTTATACGAATGCTTTTTGTACGTAATACTGACATGACAGAAACATTGGCAAATACCTGGGGAAGAAGTCCGATATTAAACCAGTGACGTCAAAATGTGATGTTCTTTTAGTTATCATTGGCTTGTTTAAGTTTATGGTCAACATGATGGCCTGGCTAACCTATGCAAGCTAACTTTGCTATTAGCATTAGCATTCCTTTATTTACTCTACACCTCTAAATTAAATCAATTTCCTTAACAAAACGTAATAAAAAACCATCACTTGAAAAAAAAACTTCAATACTGTAGTATAAATCATATCAGAAAATTACTTTTGAAACTTCAATACGTAATAGCAAACATCAGCTACAGCTACTTTATGATTTTTACTCAAGTAATATGCTACATGGCGATTTTTACTTCTATGAATGTGATTTATACAAGATCGTCCATGAACCACGTTTCAAGAGTGTCTATTCTGACTTACTTTTTACTGCGGTCATGTATGCTTTCAGATCCTTTTGCAGCTTGGTGCCTTCTCCCTGAGTTGAAAAAGGTCAATGAGCAACATCAAAGTGAAACAATCTCCCATCATATACATTAAGATGGCTTGTACGTGGTCAGGAAAATTGAGTGCATGATATTGTGAGTGAAAACTTGTGGCAATGACCATCTGCTTGTTGAAGTTGGCAACCATCTCCTCAAAGATGACATCTCTAGTCTCGTCCGCTTTGCCAAGTTTCTGCAAAACCTGAAAAGCACAGCGACAATGTTTCACTATGTCCAGACCAGCAATGGACACTGAAAAAATATTTTCAGGTGGTGTTCTCACAAAGAAGTGATCACTCAGCTTGAGTGTCACCAAGTACAAGCAGCATTTTTTTGTTTGTTGTTTTTGAAACGTGGGAGGAAGCCTAACCATAACCCTCAACCCTAATGCTAACACTAACTTCTAGCCCTAATCATAACCCCTAACCCCAACCAAAATCCCAACCACAACCCTAACCCTAAACCCATAACTCCAACTCTCACCCTCAACATAACTCCCTAACCCCCTAACCCGTAACCCTAACACCTTAACCCGGGCGTCGGCAACATGTGGCTCCAGAGCTGCATGCGGCTCTTTAGCACCATCTAGTGGCTCCCTGGAGCTTTATAAAAAAATGTTTGAAAATGGAAAAACATGTGGTAGGGAAATTATTTTTTTTGTTTTAAATATGGTTTCTGTAGGAGCAAAAACATGACACAAACATTCTTAACGTTTCCCAATGCTGTAAAAATGTGTAGAATAAATATTACGTTTCAACATTTCTGTCAACGAAGATTTGCGTCATAGCCTGTGACACACGTTTCTATTAGCAGGGCAGGATTCAAGGCAGGTGGCTGTTGCAAAAAAAACCCCAAAAAACAAAAAAACGGCGTTTCATGTACAATTCACCGAGGGTACTGGCAAAGAGAATCTGGAGGGCCGTGAAAAGCATTTTTAAAATGGTACACGTGAGCTACGATAGTCAAAAACGCTGCAAAAGTGTGTCCCATGCCGCCACCTCAGATCTCGACGAAGGTAGGTAGGCATGCGTCTGTAAATGTGTTGTGTATGTGCGAGTCGATCGCGGTAGGTTGGTTAAACAAAAAGTAGATCTTCGGTCAAAAAAGGTTGGGCACCCCTGATCTACAGAATGCACTGCACGGAAAAAAAAACATTTAATCATGAATTCTCATTTGTAGCAAACTTAGTCATTTTGATAGTAGGCTAAGATAGATCATACAGATATAGATGCATGTTGCAGCTCCGAAAAAAGGAGAGCTGTGTTTTTTTTTTAAAACGTACACTTTATTTATGCTTTTAACAGTCTCGACAAACACAGACACGTCTGCGTCCGACTCCGTGCCTTCTCTCCTCTAGTTCGACAAGACAGCCTCCGAAAAATGGAAATTAATGATCACTTCAATGACACTAAGAAAAGTGAAAAGAATGCACCAAAACAGAAAATCAAGCAAGGAAATCACAAAGTAAATTCTATGGGGCCGTTTGTGAACACACAACAAAGGAATGAATAATAAACAATTCTGAGACAGTCCACTCCTACATACATACAGCATGTGTTTCCTTCATTGTAAGTTTTAAAGAGGGCTTTTATTTTTTTGCGGCTCCAGACATATTTCTTTTTTGTTTTTTGTCCTATATGGCTCTTTCAACATTTTGGGTTGCCGACCCCTGCCTGAACCCAAACCCTAATCCCCTAACCCTAATTCTTAAACACTAACCCTAGCCCCAACCCCTAAACCTACCCATAACCCAACCCTAACTCCAACCCCTAACCCCCTAAACCCTAACCGCAACCCCTAACCACAAACCAAACCCCTTACTCCAACCCCTAACCCCCTAAACCTAACCCTAACCCCTAACCCTAACCTCTAACCCCAACCTCAAACCCCACCCTAACCCTAATCGTAACACTAACCCTAACCCCAATCCCCTAACCCTAATCCCCTAACCCTACCCATAATCCAATGCTATCCCAAACCTTACTCAAACCCTAACCCCTAACCCTAACCCCCAACCCTAACCACTAACCCCCTAAACCTAACCCCCGCCCTAGCGCTAACCCCTAACCCTAACCGCTTACTTGAACCCCAAACACCACCCTAACCCCGAGACACCTAACCCTAATGCTAACCCTAAGCCCCTAACACTAATCCCCTGACCCCAACCCCTAACCCTCACCCCCTAACCCTATCCCCCTAACCACGAACACTAACCCCTAACCCTCCAACCCTACCCCATAAAACATAACCCCCTAACCATAAATCCTAACCTAACTCCTAACTCCTAACCCCTCACCCTAACCCCAAACCCTAGCCCCAACCCAAACTCCTAATCCCTAACCGTAACCCATAACCCCCTAACCCAAACCCTTTTACCCTAATCCTCTAACCTTAACCCTCTAACCCTAACCTTAACCTGTAACCCCAAGCCCCATACCTTAAACCTCTAACCCTAACCCCCTAACCATAAACCCTAACTTCTAACGGTCAGGGGTGAGGGCCTAACCCCTATCCTTAACCCTACCCAAACTCTAAGCCCAAACCCCTAACCCTAACCTCTAACCTAGGGGTGCCCAAACTTTTTTGACCGAAGATCTACTTTCTATCAACCAACCTCCCGTGATCGAACCATTACCGCGTATGCGCGCATACGCACACACGCACGCAGGTACATACGCATGCCATGATGAGCAATAGCCTGACGCTGAGGCATGCGACGCACTTAGGCAATCTGTTAACGATCGTAGCTCACACGTACTGTTTTAAAACAATTCTCTCGGGCCCTCCAGATTCCCATTCTTTGCCCGTCCCCTCGATGAATTGTACAAAACAAAAATCTGAATGCGAATAATGATAACGATAAAAGATATAGTACAACAACTCTGATCACGAGCTGCAACTGCAGACTGCTGAGCACTAACAACTACCGTTGACGCAGTCACACGTCACCGTAGGTTAAAGATGACCTGCTTTATTTTCTTTTCTTTTTAAAATACTTTTTGTGAAAGTGAGACTGAGAGAATGATTAGGGTGCAGTGTGCATTAACACAAAAAATATAATACTAACATGTACAGAGACACAAATTTTGTTGTTTTTTTTTTTTCCCCTCTACACCCCTCGGATCGACTTGGGACCAGTCTTTGATCTACTGGTCGATCGCGATCGATGTAATGGGCACCCCTGCTCTAACAGCTAACCCCAACCCTGCCCATAACCATAACCCCTAACCCAAAAGCCCACCATAACCCCTAACCCCAAACCCTAACCACATAACCCTAATCCATTAACCCTAACCCTAACTCCTAACCCTAACACCTGACCCCTAACTCAGGGGTGCCCAAACTTTTTGGACCGAAAATAGACTTTTTGATCAACCAACCTCCCGGGATCGTCCCTTACCGCGCACGCACACGCACACACACACACAAGCATGCATGCACGCCATGATGAGAAACAGCCTGACACGGAGGCATGCAATGCACTTTTGCAGCCTGTTAACTATCGTACATAGCTCACACGTACCGTTTTAAAGTGCTTCCCTGGGCGCTCTAGATTCCTATTCTATGCCCGTGCCCTCGGTGAATTGTACAAACTGAGCAAACTCTGAATGAGAATAATGACGATAAAAGATATAGCGCAACAGCTCTGATCACAACCTGCAATTGCAGACTGCTGAGCGCTAACAACTTCCGGTGACGTAGGTCACGCGCCACCGTAGGTTAAAGAATTACCTGCTTTGTTTTATTTTATTTCTAAAATATTTTTTTGTGCAAATGAGACTGATAGGATGATTAGGGTGCAGTGTACATTAACACAAAAAATATGCAGTATTACTAACATGTACAAAGACACACAAATGGTTGTTTGTTTGTTTTTCCTCTACACCCCTCGGATCTACTTGGGACCCCTCCTAGATCTACCGGTCGATCAGGATCGACGTAATGGGCACCCCTGCCCTAACTCAAAACCCTAACCCCTAACCGCCAAACCCGATCCCTTAACCCCTAACCGTAAACCTAACCCCAACCCTAACTCTTAACCCCAAACCCTAACCCTTAACCATAACACTAACCCCATAGCCCTAACCCTCTCCCTAACCTTAACCCCCTAACCCTAACCCTAAAGCCCACTCTCTCCCTAACCTTAACCCCCTAACCCTAACCCTAACCCTAAAGCCCACCTTAACCCCTAACCCTAAACCCTAACCATAACCCTAATCCCAACCCAAACCCCCACCCTAACCCGAACGAGATTCAATGACCCGATGGACCCTCCTGTCTAGCACCCCTGAATAGATTTTACGAGGGAGGCAAGTTTATTCTTTAAAAATTGTGTCGATGTAAATGATTTGAGGCAGAGTATCATGGGATCCAAGAATACTACATCCATGTGAAAATCGTGGCAAAGTCACAGGTATCAACATTTTCCCTCATATTTGGGGGTGGCCACTGGCCACCATGTAGCTCCATCCCTGCCACAGAACTGTGAGGTAGACATGCAAACCCGTGTTCCGTTGCGATCATAAGCTAACTTGGAATTTTTTGTTAGTCCGTTCACGAGGTTAGTAAAGATATTTTGAGAGCATTAGAAGCGTTAAAAGTGCTTATAAGAGGAAAATTCATTTGCGTGCAGATGCTTTTGTTGTACCATGTTAACAAAACAGGTATTTACATTCATTGATTCATTCATTCATTCATTTTCCGATCCGCTTTATCCTCACTAGGGACACGGGAGGTGCTGGAGCCTATCCCAGCCATCATCGGGCAGTAGGCGAGGGACACCCTGGACCGGTTGCCAACCAATCGTAGGGCACATAGAGACCAACAACCATCCGAGCCCACTCTCACACTTAGGGACAATTTAGAGTGCTCAAACAGCCTGCCATGCATGTTTTTGGAATGTGGGAGGAAACTGGAGCACCCGGAGAAAACCCACGCAGGCCCGGGGAGAACATGCAAACGACCTCTGCACTGTGAGGTCAACGCGCTAACCACTGGACCACCGGGCCACCCAGGTATTTACAGTACCGGTAATAATTTATGTTTACGCTTTTTACTTCTGCACAGGTATTTTTCAGTGATTCCCCCAGCCCCCCTTACATTTATTGTTTTGACTGAAGTTGAATCAATCTTTTATTTCACAAACATCGGTACTTAAATTTAAAAACAGATTGCGAGTACTTTTGTCACATCTCGTTGTGTTGTGTGCCCCAAACCTCCCTGACGCCTTTTTATCAACTCTGACCTTAAGATAAACCCAGATGTGGTTGGTGTAAGTGTCATCTGGTCACTAATGTAGTCAAATGACTAGTCACAGCAAGCCACAATTAGCTTGCCTAAAGGGACTTCCCTACAGCCTGCAACACACTCTCAAATTTTGTCCTCTATCGCCACCGCAGGGTTTGATCTTGGTCCTGCAAGGAGCACATGAGGCAACATCTATCCATTTTTGATAGTGCTTACCCTCACTTGGGTCATGGGCAAGCTGGAGCCTATAAGTGGGCCTCGACCAGTTGCCAGACAGTCGCAGGGCAGATCCATGGCTCCCAAAAAGTTTGTGATTTGGAGAAATTTCCCCCAAATTCACTATAATCTTGACAGGTGAATTTAATTTCACCTTTTGAATGCACGTTCCCAAACAAGGAGCTGAATGGCAAAATTCAAAACAAGCGCTTGTTGATGATGATGACTGGACGAATTAGAATTTCAACCATTGGCTTCATCATGCTTTTCACATCTTGACACCGTGAGACAAAAGCAAGGCCTAATAACTGATCAACAGTGTGAGGCTTCAAGCAGGAAGTGGCCACTGAGCGACATCAGCAGGTTGCAATACAGATACACACAGCCTGGATGTGTAACAGAAAGGCATACAGCAAATGGACAACCTCGAAAATTAAAAAAAAAAAAATTAAAAAAAAAAAGCAAGTTGTCCAAACATTTCTGAAACATTTCATACACAATGCAACTCAATGTGCTTCAGAGGTCACATGAAGCTAAAGTTCTAGAGAACATTAGGTTCATCTTGAAATTAAAAAGTCCAATACCACAAGCAGAAGTGTATGGCCAAAGAGGCATTCACACTTGAAATCATCCATACTTTACATACAACTCAGAGATTTCAGTAAAGCTAACATGCATATTTTTTTTCATATGAGTGGAAGCCAGAGTTGCTAAAAAACAAAAAACACAAAAGAAAACATGCAACCACCCCACAGGGAGGTCTGGATTGAGAATCCTGTGCTGCCCCACTCTCAAATAAAAACTATTCAATAAGAACCCCTGTATGAGCAGGTTCAATGCCTCACGCATGACAGCAATGTGCCGGTGTTCAATTTCGGAAGCCAAAAATACATACAGACAATTTGTGGCTATGAGCGAAATGGGGAAGCAGGGGTTGGGGGGCTATTCATAGACATGCACCTCCTCCTCAACCCCCTCTGGCACAGGCATACTGTGAGTCCTATGAGGAAAAAGGGACAGGTGTGCACACCAAGCAGGGCGTTAGATTCACGTAACTCATCCCAGAGAGACTCAAAACTAACAGCTCAAAGACTTCATGCTTTTCTTTGGCTGCTTCACTCACGAACAAGCAGGCAGAGCCATGAGCAATGAGAACTCATGTGGCTGCAAGACAACGCCATTGAACAGACAGCTGCAGCCTACACCCAAAAAGCCCAACAGGATCACCAGCCCCCATATTGAGGAGGAAACTTTGACCTTCCTCATTACTCCTCACTTCCAAAAATCTGCTTTCTATCTCATTATCTTATCTTATTAAATATGAATCACTTACTTAACATCATGTTTTTGTCCTGTCGTTGAAACTACACAATTGTCATTTATATTCAGTAAATGCATTCGGAGTGTGTTTGTGGGAATATCTGCCTTTGTGTGCGTGTGTGTGTGTGTGTGCGCGTGTGTGTGTGTGTGTGTGTGTGTGTGTGTGTGTGTGTGTGTGTGTGTGTATGTGTATATAAAAATAACACTTCAGGCCTCACCATTAATTGAAAATACTAATTTACCTAGGAATGGTCATCCCTTTTCTGACGTGCGCATGCAGGGTGATTAGAAGCTAAAAGATCAGCAGGCGTTAAATTAACACTAAGCGATTAGATGGGATGGAAGAACTTGCTTCACACTGAGGATCCGGCATATATTTTTGTAAATATATTTTGTGGATAAATCAAGTATCTATCTATTGGCTAGCTAGCTATCTATAGCTACATGTAGCAAGTTAGTTACCATTTATTTACCTGCTTTGATTTCTACATTTTAAGACCTCTTCTGTGTTGACCATAAAGTTGTTTGGATATCATATAAGCGTATGTGAGTTATAGATAGCCTTTTATTTTATCATAGTCCACTTTCAGCGCGATAAACACTAGTATTTACTAACCTAACTTTTTGAAATTCTAAATCTTGACTATAAATTTCCCCACAAATGTCACAATTTTGTTATATTGTCCTTTTTTTAATCCCCCTACATTTACATAGCCTGGTGGTTATTGTAGGCTCACTTTCGCCCTCTACTGAAGATCAGCGACCCTGCAGCGCTTGAATTTATTCTTTTTTTTTTCCATACGCGGCCTAAGAAATAAGATATAAACGGAAATCATAAACGCATTTTTGAAACAGCCTACGAGTAGACTGATTTCATTTAAATAGAATAGTTGGAAATCAAATGTGGTCTAAAAAGACTTTCCAATGAGGAAAACATTTATATGAGGTCAAGAGGTGAAATGTTTTTGTCCTACCTTCTCCTGCGCTCTGCTCAACCTCTTCTGGACTGTGATGGCCAGTTTCCCGGCGGTGACCCCCTTCCCACTGTTCCCAGTCTCGGCCATGACTCGCTGCGTTCTGGGTTGAGGCGGCACCGACTCAGTAGTGAGTGACAAGTGTCTCCTGAGGGTAAAGTGTGCGTAAAAACTACCGGACACCGAGTTGGGTCGCTGCGTGTAACTGTAATCCCGTTGGAGCTTCTTAAAGGAGCAGCGCGTAATTTAATCCGGATTTTGTACGAGTCCACAAGAACAAGGGAGATACAATGGACGTGGAACCGAACACAGCCTTTCTGCTCGGCTAATTCATGAAGACTTGCACTCCAAATGTGGACCGATTGGGTTTCCTCCGAGTCTTGCTCTTAAAGGAGTAGCGCTGGTGGTATTATTAGGCGACACCTGGTGTGTGGGCCTTTGGGGCCTGCGCTTGAGGTTTATTTGTGCACGCGCGCTTTTGCAGGCAACCGGATGGGGGCCACATGCATTCGACACCACTAGAGGGCAGTCATGAAACAATGTTTTTCACAGATTTATTTTCCCCCCAAATAAATATTCTCTCCCACCATAACTTCTTGTTGACTTTCTGTGAACAAGAAAATATTAAATACATAATGAATCCTCCTAAAATATATATCATTGTTACTTGAACACAGGAAACACAGCCCTTAAAAGTATACTGAACAGAAATTTAAATGAAGCACTTTTGTCTTAAATACTGTTTAAAAAAATCTGCCTGATTTGCCTTAGTGAGCATTTTTCTTTTGCCAAAACAATCCCTCCTCCTCACAGGTGTGGCATGTCTCAAGGCTGATTATACGGCATGATAATTGAACAGGTGTTCCCTGAGGCTGCCCACAATAAAAGGTCACTCGCAAAGAGGGGTCACCAACGAAGTGCCGCAAGGACCACATGGGTAGCCCACCAGTATTGTTCCAACAATAGCTCGCAAGTGTTGGGACATCGTGATTTTCAATTAATACCGTAGAAGTGATAATTTGAACATTTAAAAGATTATTTGCGTTGATTCCTGAATCTGCCCTTTTTTTTTTCTCTAGCACATCAGGTTTTCATAATAATCATAATCATAATTATGATTATGATTATGATTATTATCTTAATCTAGTCATATTCACAAATCAAAAGTTAGGTTCAGCAACAGGTGGAATCTTTTTCTGAAACGTCATAGCTAAATTACAAAGCATGGTAAAATCCATATCGCGCAAGCTTTTACGGGTCAAAAATAAAAAATCTCAAAGGCCTGATCTTCAAGAAAAAAAAAGTGCAGACATTTTTAAAATATGCATCAAAAACCCATTTAGAGGCACATATAGCCCTCTCTGATTAAAATTTGCTATTGGTGACCAGTGTTATTCAAGGTAATTTGAGCGAATGTTTTTCAGAAGTATGTATCAAATTGGTGTGCCTTAGGCACATTTCTGAGTGGCCTTTTATACATGTGCAACAATCATGCTGAGAGGTGGATGGTTTATTTCAGCAAAGTAGAGGTACTCACTAATACACATTTAGACAGATTTGTAAATATTATTTGAGAGTAATACCTCATTTGTGCACATGGAAAAAGAAAAAAAACCATGAACTTCAGATAATGAAAGATGGGAGCAAAAGCGTTGCATTTGTATTTTTGTTCAGTGTAGTTAGTGTGCAACTTTTCATTCCAGTTGGAGTTCATTCTCATCGCATATATCTTCCATTTCAGTTTGCTCAATGAATTTGTAATTTATTGTTCTATATCAGGATTATTTACCAGTCGATTTATTAACATATGATCCTATAGTCCGGCTGTCTGATTTATTATGACTTCTTTTCCAGCATTTCCCATGAGGCGTAGCGGTGATCCATCACATGGTTCCTTTGGATCGCCTTTCTCCAGTTTTTGTCCTCAACTGTAGGCTGCGGTCACGCCCAGTGGGTGGAGGTGCCCCGAGTCCAGCAGCATTACCCCCAGCCAGTGTAAAAGATCAGCGTACCAGTGGACCCCATCACCACGGTAACCACTGGTGCCAGTCCAGCTGTGCATCAGCCTGAGTGGCAAGAAGGCCCAGTGAGCCAAGGAATGCCCTTCCACCACCGCGTAGCAGGATGCCACCACCCCATCCACCACGAGTGTCCCCTGCGCTGTCAGAGGAGCGAAAGCCCCCCTCCTCTCCGTCACTGTGACCCTTGTGATGCGGGAAAGTGTTCCCGATGGACCGCCGGCCACCAGTGCGCAATGACCCGGCCGGGCATCACAAGCGTACACCGTCCTCAAGGAGCCGGGGGTGGGCGGCGCCCCCTCTGAGCAGTTTCCCTGAGACACAAACAGCAAGTGGGCGGCGGTCAGAGAGAGGCGCGCCCCATTTTTTGTCTTTAGGGTGTAGAAGAGCTTGTGTGTCGCCGGGTCGCGATCCAGGAAGGTCAGGACTTGGCTGTACACTAGTTCGGCGCCAGACAAGGTCAGGACTGGCTCGCCGGGGCGCAGGTCACGGATGAACTTCTGAAGGCCGTTTTCCACAGTGACCAAGGCGTCGCCCGGGAAACAACCTCCAGACTTGGCTGCCACCGAGTGGTCTGAAAGACAGCAAGAGTCAAATATTGTACTTAGCGGGGTTAGCGTTGACATGCATTTTTGTTTCTTTCAGCACAAGCAGAACAATTGACATCGTACCATTATGTCATCGCGGATAGAGTAAATGAGTATATTTGCTAGACCAAGAATCCTCTGACTCGATACTGGCCATTTGTGTCCACTTTGCTTTCTCTGTTGGGGAGGGACGGGGGGGGGGGGGTTCAGGTTGCCATTATCTGATTTTCACATTGCCAATTTCAACTATTTAATAATATACAATTTATGTAATTTGTACCGTTGGCTCTACTGTGGCCATTTGAAACCCATAAATATGACATATTTTATTTTCTTGCTATTTAGTCGATTTAAAATGAAAAGTTTGGCCTGCTCCGTTCTTCAATTGGGCCCACCCAGCATTTTTGCTTTACGTTACCCCTTTCCCCATTGAATTTGGTTAGTTACAATGGATTTATTCATATTGTATTCTTTTGTCATTTCTTTGATTCAATAACTGATTCATAAATAAGTCAGTCAAATACACCATTCGAAAGAAAATGTTCTTGAATAAGGTCAATAGGGCCAATTAATCAAAATTACGCACTGCCGACCCTGAGAAAAGAACTGCATTTTAATTGGAGAAGTGCAGGCTCCCTCTGCTGGCTGTAGAAAGACAAGATCAGCAATACAAGAAAAATGTAAGATAGTGCTCATTTGAAGAGTTAAAAAATAAAAATGAATGGATATTTTATGTTAATGACAGGCATTGATATTCGTTTAAAAAAAAAAGGAAAAAAACAAGCCCCAAAAATATTTTACATGTACAGTATGTGGACAGAAATGGCCAGGAATGAGCTGAGAGGAAAGTAAAATTCAACAAAGCTTAAAGTTTAATACAATATGAAATCCTCATGTTGATCGATTTGAAAAGATCCTCTTATATATTTAAAGCACGACTTTACACTAATTGAGGTGTTAAAATTAGTACGATGAAAGAAGCAGCCCAACATGAGGGATGTCACTCGGTCTGAAGTAGAGTGGGGAACAAAAAAAAGAACCCAAAAAGATACCAACTTGACTGCTTGCCCGTGTAATCAGGTCAAGGACTGCGCCCTCGCAACCCGATCTGGGAGGGAAGGAGAGAAAAAGGAGGAAAAGAGGGAAAGAAAAGGAAAATCTCAGTTACTACTCAGGCGTATGAAGACGGTCTGTCATGTTCTTGGCCTTTACCTGGTGGGTCTACTTCTGCTTTCCAGACTTTTTGCATGCTTGTGTGTCTCTCTCTCTCTCACACACACACACACACACACACACGCACACGCACACACACACACACACACACACACACTCTCGAGTTAGTTTAGCAAGATTGCAGCAGGGGCAGCAGAATCGTCATGAAGAGGCTTGTGGGATGAAGAAAGGGAAGGAGGCAAAGAGGCAAACGTGCAGAGGCATTCATGAAAGCAGGGACAGGACAGAGGAAGCAGAGCTGCAGCTCGTTTTGTGTTGTCTGACTTTCAAGGTCGTATGTGTTTTAGTCACTGGGCTTGAAGCGACAAGCTTGATAACTATGCCACTTCTACTGATTTACACCAGCTGGGGCACTCATTTTTACCTTGCTTTGCAGTATGTTTCTGGTTTAGCACAATAGTTCTCAAACTTTTGACACCAAGCACCGCCAATCCAGTAAATGGTGAGCAACATTCCAACGTGGAAGCGTAGTAGGCCGAAGGGTTCAAAGCACAAAGCTCCGTCCGAATGGTGACCTGAAACTCACCCGACTTGACACTGCAGTGGATGTGGGCCTTGGATTCGTAGTAGACCCAGTCGAAGCCCGCCTCCACAGCCAGCCGAGCCAGCATGGCGTACTTGTTCCGATCCCTGTCCGAGGTGGTGATGTCCACTGCCCGCCCCTCGTAGTGGAGCGACTCCTCCGAGTGATGGCCGTCCTCGTCCCAGCCCTCGGTGACCCGCAGCCTCACCCCGGGCCAAAGGTTCATCACGGAGATGGCGAGGGAGTTCAGCTTGTCCTTGCAGCGCTGCGGGACACACACACACACACACACACACACACACACACACACACACGTCAGATTTTGCCTTATGCAACCACATGTTAGATATACCGTATACCAGGTGTGTCCAAAATAAGGTTCGGGGGCCATATGGGGCCTGCTGTTTGTCTTTTAGTGGCTTGCGGGCGTCATATAGTGAAATCTGAATTTTTTTTCAAGGCGGTGATGTAAAGAATTAAACAGTTTTTTGGTGGTGTTTTTTGCTTCAGTTCAATGAGAATTGTGTGGCTCCTTCTGGTGTGCATGCGTCAGCCACCTGCGGTCATTGTAATACAGACAGAGAGAGACAGAGCAGAGCGTTAAATATGACTGTTAACATTAAGATAAACAGAAATTAGGAACATTTATGCGGTTGTTTTAATGACACTCCGTATAAAACTGTCTTAGTTTCATGTTTAGATTGACAGCAAACCAACTGGGAGTGCCAATAAACATTTTGAAGCCGCTTTTTGGAAGAATTGTTTACTACCTGCCAAAATGCTGCTTGCTGTGCAATGAGTTGAGTTCCCTCCCACTGTACAGTGCTTGTATCTCAAATTTTTGCTCACAAGTCAAAGCAAACAAATGTCCGATCTCTGAAAAGTCGTATCACTCGGATATCAAGGCACCGCTGTATGACTACTACTACTACTACTACTACAAATAATAATATATTAGTTTTATAAAGAGCTTTTGCAAAAACACACACAAAAAAATCTTGACTGAAATAATATCATTTCTATTTACAGCACCTTGAGGAACAAAGATAATTCAGTTTCACACGGCAACAGCATGAGCCACCAGTGTTTGCTTCACTTTCTGCTCAGTTTCGCGGTCGCATTTGTGAAACAAAACCCTTCAGATCATTACATTGAAATAAACACTACTTTCAACATTTACTGATTAGATCAGATTGCTCCTGTTTTGGTTCTGAACTTGGAGATGTGATTCCACAGCTGCTCAGCGCAGACGCGGACTTTTTCTCATAGAATACGCCGACCACGCGAAAAATCTGGAAAAAATCCTCAACTACGATATTTCCTTTTCACCCGGAACAGAAAGCCGTGAGGTAGCAGTTTACAAAATAAGAAAATCGTCCATAAGCGTGTTTGATCAATTCAAAGTGAAGAATGCCAAGATGGCCTTTGGTTTTCTTCTGCATGGCCCTCGAGGAAATTAGTTTTGCCACCCTTGATATACATGCGGCTTCTCTGATTTGGCAGTTCATTCAGCTCCCGGGTCCAAAGTTCCACACATTAGCTCTGAAAAAAAAAAGTTTACTGTTGGACTTTATTGGAACCCAATAAAAGTAGGAAGTTGCGAGTAACGCTTTATGATTGACATTTTTATGGGTAGTGTGTGAACTTCTGCTGTCTGGTTAAGCAAACACAAGGTGAGAGGGCCCATTGACTGACAAGGCTCCCCCTCCCATCCCGGCTCCCCCCGGACCAGCCCCTTTCCCACTCGTAACGCTGCTAATAAAGTTGTCATCTGAACCGTTCGTCTGGCCGGCCAGTGCTCGCGAACACCTTGACCCGATTGTTCATGCCAAGCGCAACAAGGTCCATTTCCTCTAAGGTGAGACGCCATTGGCTTACAGACAGGAAGTCAATTAACTGTTCAATCAGAAAAAGCTCAAATTTAGCTTGGTTAACTCAAGCTGACCTTAAAACATAGTGCCATGTAAACCTGACTTCGACAGGAGTGTTCAAACTACAGCCCGGGGGCCATTACCAGCCCGCTGTCAATTTTTTTAGCAGCACTTCTCATATCTTAAAATTAACAATTGACATGGCCCATGTCAATTGCCTGCTTTATTCTACCGACTCTTCACACTGGGCAGCAATCTAAGGCGGGTAAAGAGAAGAAAAAGTTGGTTTCCATCGCTCACTTCCTTGTGTTCCACCCTCACTAAAATAGTCCGTACATTCAAAAATGGTCCAGCCACATCAATTGAGCAACTCAGTAGCAGAGTGGGATGACTCCATTGTTGTCATTTTTAAATTTAAGAAATAAATGTATAGAGAGAAGGTCTTTCTTTCAGATGACAACTGGTCAAGATCAAGGATCGGTTGCAATTTTGTCAAGGGCAGGATATATCAATATTGCACTCAGCACTTTTCTCATTCATCGGTGCAACACGGGGCCAGCTCCCATTTACAAGATTGCCCCATGTGAATTTTATTGCTCATCGGTCATGAAATATGAACAGATTAGATGACTGTTTGGGCAGTCTTGTTCGAAACATTTTTTTCTAACCCTCACTTCCTCATTTTCACCTATCCATTCATTGTCTTATCCGCTTATCCTCACAAGGGTCATGGGTGGGCTGGAGCCATCTTCGGGTAGTAGGCGGGGTGCACCCTGAACTGGTTGCCAGCCAATCGCAGGGCATACACAAACTAACAACCGTTCACTCTCACAATCCCACCGACAGACAATTTAGTGTAATGAATTCATCTACCACGCATGTTTTTGAAATGTGGGAGGAAACCCACACAGGCACTGGGAGAACATACAAATGCCACACAGGAAGGCCAGAGTCTGGAATCACACCCACGACCTTTGCACTGTGAGGCGGACGTGCTAACCAGGCGTGCAGCGTGCCACCCTTCCACAAATCGCACATCAGTAAAATAGTAACTAAGAAACCAACATTAAGTGCAAGGACTCATGTTGTGTATTTTTTTTTCACCAAAATCATCCTACCAATACAAAATATGCATGTGATGTGCAGGTATTATTTGGAGTTTGACTCGGCATGACTCAGACTTGATCTCATTTTTACTGTTTTGTGCTTTCTACTGTCTTCATTATTAATTTATTGTTTTATTGTTGTATACATGATATTTGCTCCATGTGCAGCACTTTGTATACAGCGGTGGTTGTTTTAAAGTGCTCTACAAATACAGTTGAGTTGAGTTGTCATCCCCACGTTCCACACTGTAGTATCTCTTACTATAACTGTTTTGTGGCTTTAAAAGCTGGGGCATGTGTGGAGTTGAGTGGCGAAAGTGGAGAGTTAACCCTCTGTTAACTGGTTAGCTAATCTGAGGGTCAAGTGACTTGGTGTCAGTTGTGCCATGTTTATTTTGTTACTGTTTATGCAACAATTGATTGGTCGTGCACCAGTGGCTGTGTCTATCCTTGGCCGCCTGTGGAGGGATTCAAATTTATTCCAACTAGTGGTGGTAGGCTTTATGAAATAAGATAATAATATTTACTTGACTGTAGATGTGAAATTACAGAGTTCTGCTTGGCAGTAGACATTGCACTTTTATCAGAAATATGGAATGATCTCAAATTTTGCACATTCAGTCTTTTACTCACTCCATTCTCTCTTTTTACTCGCTTCTGAAGATATATTGTCTGTCTGCATGTTGACAAAAACTATTTCGGACTGGGGTTACGGTTAGGTTAGCGACACCTCAAGTCCTCAAGGGTGAAAAGTGGGATCGAAGCCAATTGGTTGCGTTAAGAATAGCCCGCGTCGATGGCCATGAAGTTGCCTTTTCACGGGTCCCGTGGATTCGAACATTGGTGTTTTCTCTGCGCGGTCAGACTTCATAAATTAGGCGCTCCATTTAGCGCACACGCACAGCGGTTTGTGCACTAAACCGCTGGCTGCACAAACATTGCACGCGCAGGCCGACGATCTTTGCGCACCTTCTGCCTCTGATCAATGCGTCAACGATGTCTCGCCCTCACAGTCAAATGTGTTGACACTTTCTCCTCTGCGGCGTTAACATGAGTTTGACCGCAGTAAAGTTACACGTTTGTGTCGCCGCTTTGCGCCACAAAAGTGATTAAGTGTGTTTCTGGAACAGGAGCTTCTGTATTCGCAGCAGCGCGCGCAGGAAAAGTGAATAGAAAAACCCACGAGGTGAAAAATTCACTTTCATTACGGCTTCAAAGAGGGCAAGTGCGCTCGCTATTCCTGTCCGCGCGAAACTGAGAAAACAAGCTAAAAGTCACACGGAACAGTCAAAGACAAACAGCCAGGCTGTGTGCTGCGCGCCGGATCTCCTACATTATGCGAACGCGCTTGAAAAAAAAATATACACCCGAACGCAAAATTACGCTGCTTTCAGATGAACGCCTTTGCATTGGGGGACGTGGGGGGGGGGGGTTGTTCTATACAGCACGTTCCAATTAACAAAGCAGGGCGGACGCACACTTTTTTTTTTACAGGCAATATTTCTTGCAGTGTGCGCGGTCCACACGTGTGTTGGTAGGAGATAGAGGGAGAGAAAAAACTGGTAGTATAAATACTAAATTCAATGAAAATTGGGATCACAAATAGGTAAACTATTACCTGCCTGCCTGTGTTTTAAGCCACAGAAACAAACGTGATGGGACCAAGTGCATGCTCTCATCTACAACGACCATTAAAAAAAATAATGATTTACAATTACTGTAAGCCGTCTGGGTGGACGAACTCTGGCGACCGCGCATCGCTAATGGCAGCAAGACATAACAAACGCGCGCTCTAGGCCTTGAGTCAACAAGGAATGTGGAAAAAAAAGATAAGCGCATCCACGCGTCTCAAGACTGGTCAAAGTGCACCACGAAAGTTACTATTAGATCGGAAAACTGCAATACTTGGGCCGGGGCTGCGTGTCTCACTCTCACCTGCGTCATCATGCGGTCTGCACCTGTGTTCTCCTCATCCTTGAAGATGATGTCGGGGTTGTAGTTGGGGGTGAGCTCCCTGAAGCGCTCCGAGTTGCGGGTGATTTTGCCTTCGTATCTCCCGCTGGCCCCTAATGTCTTCTCGGCCACGTTGGGGCTGAACTGCTTGTAGGCGAGCGGTGCCAGCTTCCGCGGCGAGCGCCTCTTGCCGTAGCCTCGGCCCGGCCCGCAGCCCCCGCAGCCCGGCATCAGGAGCAAGGCGCACCCGGCGAGACACGCGAGAAGCCTCGGGAGAAGCATTCCAGCCGGGCCGATGTCCTCCACCCCCCCGCCACCCCACGGGCAGGTGGTCAGAGGTTCAAATGCCCTAGCCGGTCACAATAACTGGGACCTTCAAAGCGGCGGCAAGAGAGCAAGACGCCCCCCCGAGTCCTCCGATGTTGCCATTCCACGCGCGTAAAAAAGGTGCGCGCCACGGACGAGGTGCAAAGGAACTTCCCAGCGCGCTGCCGACACTCGAGCGTCTTGAGGGCACTTGGAGGCAGGGGCATAAATAGGCGAGGTTGAGTTTGTCTTGGCAGTGGCCTTCAAAGCTGTCTCGTAGTGAGACACGGAGGCGCGCGGCGGTCAAAGGGTGTCCCCGCAGCTCAATGTTGCCCTGTGGCTGTGCGTGCAAGTGGCATGAAAGGTGCCCACCCAACATTTCCTCCCATCGGGGGCACCGGCGTGCACATCCGAGAGTTTGTCAGGGGCTGCAGGTGAGGAACACTCCTGACATTAAGTACATAACAGCAGAGAATCCGAGAGACCCACCCCCGCCGCCCCAACCACCACGACCATGCAGTAAAGCAACATATTCCTCAGACATAAATCCTTTGCTCGTTTCTCTCTCTCTCTCTCCCCCTCCCTCTCTCTCTCCCTTTCTCTTGAAATGGTGCACCCAAGACCTTTGAGCTTTTCCTCTGCATGTTTTTGATACATCTAACTTACATTTCATTCATGCCTTCAGACCTCACCCCACACCTAGCATGTCTTTTACAGAGGGCGAATCCACACGGAAGGGGGCAAATTCCCCATACAAATGGCAATGATTAACATGGCATGCCATTGCAAACCATTTCATGCAGCATTGTTTTTGTGCTGCTCTGTGCAGCCACACATAACGACCATACCAGAAACCCCCCTTATCCACTCTCGAGTAAAAGGGTGGGCAAAACTTAATTGGACTCCACCCCCACCTCAGATGCACACATTTGCCCTTGCCTTTAAAGTGTACCTATGGTGGCCAGAAGGAAATTTATATTTTATATATACATATAAAAAAGCATCGATCCATTCTAAGCGCATTTTTTGTTACACTGGTTCTATTAAAGCAAGCTTAAAATAGCTCACATAAACTTTTTGTCGAGACGCCATGCCAGCTAATGCGTGTAGCCATACTTGCCTGGGGCATTGAAAGTCGTCTTGGCAGTCGTCTCCCTAAATCAACGCGGGGTTCTCTTGGTCAGATTCTGGCGAAACTGCGTAATTCTGGCAATTTTCCCAGAGTCAATACAAACGGAAGGTCTGTCAAACCGTCACTGACCATGCCCGCTTTGTTGGCTGTGTGTCAGATGAGGCCGGTGTTGCAGAGGGTCACACACAACGGCCGCATGCGAAGGAGGAAGCTTGGCTGTGATGCGGGTCAAGTTTCATCATGTCCATTAAAAAAACAAAAACAAATAATAATAATAATAATAATTACCCGACTATGGATCTGACTGTCACGGATGTCTTGCTGTTGGAATGAGGACACGGGCGGCACTTTACTGATGCACAACCACCAGTAGACGATGCTGATGGCCCATTTTAAACATTCGATAGAGATCAGCTGTTTTTGAGTCCATGGGAGAAACGGTTGCATTTTGTGCAACCTACCCCCCCCCCTTTTTTTTTTACAACCGTTTTTTTTTCTACTACCGATAAAAATAAATAAATCTTGCACATCGGTTTTGGAGATATTTTAATTTTTTGTTTTTAAGTTTGACCTATAAAATCTTGCACAATATGGATTTCACCATGTGTTCTAATTTATAGCCATGACTTTTCAGAAAAAAAAATCCACCTTTCACTGACCCTAATGCTTCACTTGCAAAAATTGCTCAATATATTACCATATGACATATGATATGATCATGAAAAAGTAATCTACAAATGTTTACTTGCATCTCTGATGGAAAAAAAATGGGAGTAAATATTTGTCGACCAGTGTGACTGACCAATCTAACATGGTGAAAAAGGCTGTTGACAACGCAATGTTAACGGCATATAAAACATGATGTTTTGGGGGTCTTCTGAAAAGTGACTACGGTATTTTGGAGGTACAAGGATTCGGCCTGAAGCCTCTGCAATACACAATTGCCACCATCATTCGGCTGTTACTATGGGCAACAGATTGCACTTAAAATCAAGTCATGCAGAATAGTGAGTGGCAACCAAGTGTAAACACTACGTTCAATGAAGGTAGTTCACGAAAAAAAATATGCTGATCATCTCTGTTAAAAGTCCAGAAAATTGCAATTTGGTCAGAGATATTCAACCAAATTGAAAGAGGTCGCAAGAAACAGGAAGGAACACAATTTGGTTTAATGGGGAACCCCAAAAAAAAAAAAAATCATCATGCCCTGGGATCTTGAGTTCGACACCGGTACTGAAGTGACTCACACTAGCAGGGACAAATTGTGTTAGTTTCAGCATACTTGGCCAATCAAGTTGATTGTAACTCTGACGGTACTTCCATTTGTGACTGACTCCTTACATGCTGTCCCGCACGCAATGTGGTGAGCGCAGCCGACAGGCAAATATTTGAAGGTTCTATTGAAGTCCTCATGCCACAACAGCTTGATGGACATCTGCTGTCATCAGCTTTTTTTTGTCAGCCAGAGCTCACCGAAACTACCGGTACTTAGTTTGGAAATTAAAAAGACCGCAGTACATTTGAAGACTGTCTTTGTTACGATGTTTGCGAGGAAACCATCCCAGGGTGAATTTTTGTCAAATTTTCTAACTTCCGATTTCAATTCTTAATATAAAAATAATAACCTCAAGTTTACCTCTATCGTGGTTACCTTTGGCCAATTAAAACCCATGAAAAGTTAGTTTTAAATTCCTTGTTATTGACTGGATTGAATCTTGGCATAACAGGCAAAGGACATTTGAATTTAAGAAGTTGAAGCAAACAAACTGCCTGTCGACGGGTCTAACAAATGAACATTCATTCATATTCTACAGTATTGAGAATTGAGGTAAGTTGAAATGATAATTAAAAAAAAAAAAAAAGGCAACCCCCCAAGAAACTGTCAGTTGTGTCATCAAATCCAACCAGGTGTTCGGGATAAGTTGATCCGTAAGCATTTTCTGCAGCTGATTCAGCAAAGAAATGATTTGATTTGATTCACTAGAAAAGTCATTTATTATAAATATAAATTCGCAGATAAAAAGCTTATCTTCCATGATAAAATCATTACATTCATTGATTACCATAGAGTTTAAAATATTAAAATTGATTTAAAAGTAAGTCATTGAAAATGGTGTTTCCTACTGCGGGCGCTCATCGGAACAAGCCCACCGCTTTCTTCTTCTTTGCTTTGGAAGGCGCTCGCTCAGCGAGGCCACAGGTGGCGAGCTGCGGAACATCAACGTTGTCAAAATTCAGCACAAACTTATTTTGGTGAGCGCATGCAAAGATTGGAACAAACACTCAACTAAGCAGGCCAACTTCGGACATGTCCACACGTTGAAGGACAAACAAACATAAAGCCATAGTAAAATATGTGAATAATATTCACCTGGGCAGTTATTTAATGAGTTAAATAAATTTTAAAAATCAAGACATATCTATGAATTTATACATTTTCGGGAAACAAATGGCTAAAATAACAAATATTCCAGGACTCTTGATAACGTCTGCTCAACAGCAAATTTGAATATGAATTGGCTTTATGAGTCCCTGAACATATTTTTGCTGGCGATTTTAAAAACGTCTACTTTATTTCTAGCACATCGGGTTTTTGAGGTCCTGTCATTTTTGTTTTTAAGGTTCGAACTCTGTCAAAAAGTGATTTGTTGTTGCACGTGTTTGTGTGGACATGGTCTTTGACTGCCATACTTGCTGTGTTGTGGCTGTGCGGACGATGTGGTCTCCCGCTTCCGCCACCGGACTGGTCTGGTTCTGCTCACTGTCGGCTTCTCCTCGATCAGCGTCTGAAAGATGCGGGTGCCCAAACACGCAAATGTTGCTGGATTTTACAAATCTTTCAGCTTGCAGACATTGTTTTTATACATTCTCAGTACCGTTTTTTTTTTCTTAGTGTTGTTAATAGTTGTCTTTTTCTAGCCATCCGTGGGAGCTTCCACTTCTTAAATTAAAATGTAATTCTTCTCTTTGGTGTCTTCACCTCTTAAAATTAACATTTTGGCATCCATTTACTGCAGTAAGGCCATACATGCGTCTTTTGAAAACTATGAATATTACATGAAAATGTGCCATTGTCCCAAAAATGATAAAATGATGTAATCTGGTAGAAAACATATAACCGGACAATTACGCTTTTTAAGTGTTGAGTCGAGAATGAAACACACTTTACCCAAATGGTATGACTTATTCAAATAAATACAATTTTAAAACATGTTCCTCAAGGGTTTTTCCCGACCCAAAAAGTCCACAATAGAGCCAAAAGGTAGAATTTGATGCAAACATGATATTATTTACATATTTGAAAGAGTTGACAATGGAAATAACAAAATTCGACAAAAATCTTCATCTTGGGGAAGTTGTATTCTATTTGCATTAAGCAAGCTAAAATGGTTCTAAAAAGGAAGTGAGGTGAACAAATGGGGAGCGCACAGTTGGTTAGGGTGTAACCAATCTGCTGACAACTCAAATAAAGACGGGGCCCAAACCTGAGGAAGTCGTGGCGTCCACAACCGTGGTAACTAATTCGTCCTGCTCAGACAGTTTGCGTTTGCGCATGCTTCCATGTGCAACGACGGCAGTGTAAAGCTCCTGGAGGTCGACTCCAAAGTTCTTCACGCTGTGATGGTCAGAACAAACCACGGCAAGAGTCTGATGAGAAGAGACCACGAGTGATTTCTCATGTTATGTTACACCAAGATCATCATTATTTCAGTGCATATACAGTACTTTTTGTGACATTTTTGAGGGGGGACTGTGAGACGCAATGTAAAATATGGGCCTTTGTTCACTATGGATCGGGAAACCCAACCCTTGTTAATTAATGCGTGACGATCATAATCATCAAGGCTGCAAGCAGAAGTTGCGCCTCATAATGAGACACAGAAAAAGACTAGAGTCTCTAAGTCCTTCTTTCCCCCGATGGATAGCACACACACTCCAAATTAGCTCCTCAAATATTGACCATCAGAAATTGGTGGTCTTCAGCTCACTTTCGGGGGCCGAGGGGGCTCCTCAACACACTCTGGTCAGGCTTCGAGGTTTTCCATTGATTTATTTTTGTGATTTGTTTGTTGAAATACGTGGGGACCGGGGGTCTTAGTTCTGCTTTGGGCACAGAGGAACCAATGTGCTGAAAGAGGTCAGGGGGGTGCCGACTAAGCAGAAAGCCAACCTTATACTGTATTTTTGTTCACAGTAACCCCTCCGCTCACTGGCCGTCCTGTCCTGCAGCCTCTTTTGGATGATCTAAGACGCTGAGCTCCATTTGTTCTGCACATATAATCACATAACCAATACAGACTAGAAGATTCTTGGTTCTTAGTTTATTTAAAACAAAAAAACGATCTGATCATATGCCAGCTTTCAGAGCTCACCAACACCCATGTCAATAGCAAACAATATGACATCATCTTCTTTCTGGCTTCACTCGACAATTAAATTTCATATTAGTGTTGGATTTAAAGATATGGTTTGCTTCAGTAGCGCTCTGGTAATAAATCAAGTCCAGGGAAGCAACTACGCTTAGGAATTTAAGGTCAATCACGATTCCACATTTTCCTCAGACAAAGAATTGATCCGCAAGTACTTTTCTCTTCTGGTAATAGGACAAAGTCCTTTGAGGATGACAGAGAGAGGTGGGGAGGGAGTGCTCACCTGGTAGCCACACCCCTGAATCCTGCCTCCTGTGGTGGGGAAGGTGAGGAAGTCTATAGCCTGTTGACGTTTGGCTATTATTAGCAAGTTAGCAGCTCTGATTTTAGAAGCTGTTGTTTTCTTAAGGGGGGATGTGGGGGGCAGCGGCGGGTTTGCTGGTGCCAGCGAGTCTCACACTCACTCACTTTTTCTCGTCTCTGTTGACGACCTCATGTTGACTTTCTCTACACCATGTGACCTCAACTTCCTGCCCCAAATCAAAAAGTCATCTATGGCGAGCTGCTTACCTGAATTAACGATCACATTTGACAAAGACAAAAATTAACAGACATCTTGTCAACATTTTGTAGACTGGGCACTAAGTTTGTACTATACGGAGGCAGATTAATGACACACAGAAGTTGAAAGTGTTACCCTGAAATAAAGTATAGATCTTTTTACCATGGTGTCACACATACATCAAACATTATGAAAAAGTCAATGGCACGTTGTGATTTCGGGGGCTTAAGCCAGAACCAACAGCTTGGCCAGGAGCAGCCAGAGTCCTAACTTCAGAGGCTCAGTGACGAAACGGCAGACAATCCAGGAGAATCAACAAAAGCAACAAATAAAAAGGTTCATCCAGGGACCCAGCCAATGTGGTCTATGGTCTACCCTGTCAATAGCTAAATTAGGTAGAGTCATTGGTTTCATCACACTGTACGCCCCTTACCGCTAAGGCAGGATGCAAAGTGGGCTACATGTGAACACTACAAACGTCCCCAACCACCGGGCCGCGGACTGGTGCAAACAACTTTTGGAAATGACTGTGGTGGTCTTAAAAGTTCAGTATCTTGAAGACAGAAAGTACTTAGTTAAAATCTGAAACTGTTGGTCAGATTTAATGGTAGTGGCTTGTGGGATCCCACACGGGTCCATTCTGGCGCCCCTTTCATTCAATGTTTCCATTCAGCCCCTGGAAGTAAAAACGTGTCCTACCATGATTACACAGACGACATTCAGATTAACATCTCGCTGACAGCGGGGGAATATGGGCCTTTGGACTCTCTCTGTCACTATCCTCAAATTTTCTATAACTTCACTCAGACAAGTCTTCGGTCATTGTTTTTGCCCACCAAAACCAAGAACTGAATTTCTCAATGTAAAAAAGGTAAAAATGGATTTGGACCTAAACATGAAAACCGTCACATTAAATCAAAGGTTTACCGTCTAAAATAGAGAAACAGACTCATCCATGCATTTTTCTCAAGCAGGTTTGACTACTGCACTGAAAGACAGGTAGAGTAGTGTGCATTCAGAGAGTACAATCCTATTCTTTCCTGTGCTCATGTATCTGCATTGCCTTCCTGTCACTTAGAAAACAGACTTTAGTAGAGCTCAACATTTGTATAATCCTCCCTATGGCCTAGCACAAGTAAATCTCTGACATGTTGACCTCATACAAACCCGACAACCTGAGAGGCAGGTCATCTGATGGTGCCCACAGTCAGAACTAAAACCGATGAAGCTGCGTTTCAGTTCCATGCAGTTAAACTCTGGAACTGTATTCCTGCTGACATGAGACAAGCCTCTCCTCTAACAATGTTTTTAGTCCAGCCTGAAAATGGTTCGGTTTAGTTGCGCGTAAAGTTATTCAAACTGTTCTACCTGCATAAGTCTATTTTACTTTATTCTGATGGGATATTGTTTTATTGATTATGTTGTATTTGGAAATGTGTTTTTAATTTTTGTAAAGCAATGTCAATTTCCCTGTGTCTGAATTGTGTGATACAAAAAAATCAGAGTCACCTCGCCCTTACCTTGAACACATTTTTTTTAGGTTCATTAAATGTTATGAAACGTTTTTTAGGGCATACAAATGAGGAAAACTCCAATACTTTGTGTCGCTATATTCGAATCATTTTCAGCACTGTGCAGTGGCGTGCAAAGAATCTTGGCATATGGGAAGCCACCAAGAATAGCAGAGGTATTTCATCCGAAAACAGGAAAAAGAAGCCCCACAAAGAATTTTGTGGGCTGCATTTGGAGGAGATTTCAAATTGTGAAAGCTTCGAACAGTATGAGGATGTCATCATCCTTCAAAAGGATGCTGTCCCTGGTTTTGGAAAGACCTGAAGCTATTCCCAAAAAAGTAAACCCTTGAATTTGCTGGATTCTGGAAGTTGAAGTGTGTGTTTAGGAAGCCATTAACCTCGATGGTGTGTGAATGTAATGATGGGGTTTCCTGTGCTGTTTTACACACATTTAGGAAACTAGAAGGAGTCTTCAAATCACGATTGGTCACATGTCGGCCTTTGAGGAAGCTGATGTGGATAAGAGACGTGCTTGGGCTAATTCTAATCAAGTCAATGTTGACTTGAACAGGGAGGAAGAGGCTTGAGAAGACGACCGCAAGCCATTCCACCGCGGTCCCGACTCCCTTCTTTGTCACCGGGGAGCGAGAACTGTGGTGGGAAAAGGCCACAAACACACAAAGAAGACTTTTGTATGTAGTCGGTTAAACACCTCTGTAATAACTTCAACCTCCTCATGACAACTCAAGTTACTATCAGGCAAAGGTGAGTCAAAGGCGATTCACCAATGATCATAGACTGATTCACACTTGCGTTGGATGCGGCGTGATGAGTGCTCCTATGGTAACTGAGAGCCAGACACGCAAATAGCGCTTACATAGAAGGAGAGAAACAAAAACTCACAGGAGTGTATACAGTGTTGGCCTTGATAAATATTACACACAAACACTAAACGCCTTCACCCATACCTACATACACTTACGCACAGAGCTAAATCTGGTGTGTGGTTCTCTCTCTAATGCATCATTTTCGAACAACCTTCCGATTTCGGTTGCCTCTGAAGGCGGCCTTGTCACCACCCGGTGGAATTTGCCACCAGAGTCCAAAGACCAAGTCTTTGTCTGTGCCTTCTTCTGTGGTGTTTACCCACCAAGGGTTGTGACCAGCCACGGACGAAAAATAGCAACCATTGCGCCACATGCATTTGTCCACCACTGTGGAACCAGATGTAACTTTCCATTATTGCACTGTCAGAAGTGCTTGCTTGTTTTCAATTTGCCCAAACGCAACCGATGTTTTCATCTCAAACGAACAACTTGTGTCGCAACACTCTTTCATTTAAATTACGTGATATCGTCGAAGCAGTAGAGGGACAATAAAACAGCCAGTGACCTGAAATAAACTTGCGATCAAAAGACAGTCGATCAGACACCCCTTAGACATTCCTCAAGTTGATATGAAATGTTTAATCACTCACTCACTCACTCACACGAGGAGTCAGGGGTCAACATAGGCAGAGACATGAAATTCCACACCTCAACACAGTAAACACAGAGAGAGCTGGTATAGATTTGAGGCAAAGAGCGCAAGGTTCTCTCCTCAGCTTTGTGACAACAGTGAGCTAAAGATCAAAAATGGCGGGACTATGCCACGTGTCGGCCTCTCACCTTTGCCAGGAAGCTGCCTCTGTAGGTGTGTCGCTCAAATATTTCTGTCTGCAGGCGCGCTGCACATGAGAAGGAACATTCAGCGTTAAAATTGCTCGGTCTTTTTACAATGACGTTACATACATTGTACGTCCAGGTGGCAAAAGTCAAAGTGCTTTCCAATGTTCCCACTAGTGAACAAACTCTTCTATGTCATTTGACCGAGGAGTATCAAGCAAGAGACAGAGGTAATGGCTTGAATGATGATTTTAGCCTTTTTCTGTCTCGCGGCAGTTTGGATCTGTTGAGTGGCATTTGAAAAGAAAAGGGTTTGCGAGCTAAATTGCTTTCAAGGGAAAAGGACCGCTGGTCGTAATACATTTCAACAAGTACATTGATTTAAAAAAATAAATAAATAATAATAATAATAGATGTGGAAAGTCAGACAGCGGATACCATTACTGAGGGACTGGCTACTTAATTTTCTCTTTCTTGGAATTTTAGCACAGAGATGCTCTTTTATTGCTGAAATGGGTTGCATGCTGTAGAGCAGTGGTGGCCAACCCGCGGCTCGCGAGCCGCATGCGGCTCTTTGGCTGGTTCAATGCAGCTCCCGGGCTTTCACACAACAGGTGTCGAAAACGCCTCGGCAGTGGCAATGGCATTCAAACGAAGGCGCTAAGTACACAGAACGCACTACGTCAGCCTATCATCAATCCAGTTACTTGATTGACATAGAGGGCAACCAATCAGATGACTGCATCACCGCTCATGTGCAAACAACAGCGCTAAGCGCTAAACTAGTCAGCGAATTACCTCTGATTTTAAGGCAGGGGTACCCAATACGTCGATCCCAATCGACTGCTAGCCAGCGAACTGGTCCCAAGTCAACCGCAAGGAGTGGGAGGAGGAAATGGGTGGAGGGAAAAAAGATTTGTTTGTTTGTGTCTTTAGCTTTCGTTCATTTTCGGCCCGTTCCGACTGTTGCTCATCGTGGCGTGCGTGCATATGTGCGCGAGTGCACGGGTGGGTACCCATGTGCGTGCGTGTATGTTTGCACGTGCGCGATCGGGTCGATCGTGGGAAGTTGGTCGGTTCAAAAGTCGATCTTTGAGCAAAAAAGTGTGCGTGCGCGAGGAAGTGTATGATGTGGCTCTTTGCAGTAACACAGTAAAAAAATTGGCTCTTAGTCTCTGACTGGTTGGCCACCCCTGCTGTAGAGCACTAAGCTAGCATGCTAAGATATTATGTTTTTCATACTGTAATTACTCAATGACAGCCAAGTAAACATTTTATACATACAGATATTACATTATACATACAGACATGAGAAACTACACACACACACACACACACACACACACACACACACACACACACACACACACACACAGATATATCTATATCAGTGGTTCTTAACCTTTTTAGAGGTACCGAACCCAACCAGTTCAGATGCACATTCACCGAACCCTTCATGAGTGAAAAATATATATATTTTTTACAAATTCAAGATATTAAAAACAGAAAATATTAAATAACATTTCAAGAAATAAGTATTCTTTTTTTTTTTTTTAATTGTACGACGTCCTATCACGACAGCCACACATTGACTACTAAGCGAACTAAATTTCCCACAGCACTGATTGGACAAGCAATGACATGTGATCATCTGCAGCCAGTGATTGCCAGGAGGGCGTGTCATCACTAACATGTTGAGTCGCGTGTGTCTTACCCTCCATGGCAGAGGCTCCATCGAACCCCTGACACCGACTCACCGAACCCCTAGGCTTCGATCGAACCCGGGTTAAGAACCACTGATCTACTGTATATATATCATTCCAAACCAACTTTTCTACACGCTGCATGGGCTTCTCCTCCTGGCTCTTCCCAGTCCATTTCCTTTCTCTTCTCTCTCCACTTCAGCTCCTTTATTTCCTCTCTTTTATACCCAGCCCTCCTTGCTTCAATCAAGTGGGTTAAGCAGCCACTCCTGTTGGGGTTGTGAGGCATGCTGGAAAATGTAGTGGCTGTCATTCTTTTGTTGTTTGCGTCAAAACCTTTGTTGTTGGGTGAGAATAGTGGATCTTTCATACATGCATTGAAAATAATGTATTATCCTCAATGAAATATACGGTGTTGAGAGCATACATTTTGCTCGTATTCGGAAGTGCATGGTCCTATATGTGCCCCTACAGTAGCATTGATGAGAAGTTGTGGCCCCCGCCAACATTTAAGTTGCCTATCCCTGGTCCATGCAGAATACAGAAAACAAGAGCAACATGCAGAAATGAATGACAAAAATTAATAATATACATGTGCATACCACATGAACGAGCTGTGTGTTGTACCTCTGCTGAGTGTGGCTCCATTCTCCTTGTAGTCCTGAATCTCGGCATCTTTGCTGACGAGCAAGCCTTCCAGCTGCTCCACCTCCTGCTGCAGCGTGTGGCTCATGGACAACAACGGCTGCACCAGATGAAGACACACCTAGCAGACGAAGATTTACTTTTAAAGACGACCACTATTATTCTATAAGGTAAGACTTTCAGATCCCTCACAAAACACAAATTAAATCAAATCCAAGCATACCACGGTGACTGGAGCGGGGGTGCAGCGAAACTCCCAATGTAAAGGTAGCCCTGCGAGCTTGCTCTTGAGCCTCAAGCTCAAGTTGCCTCCATCCAGCCGCATCACAGAGATGTTGGCTTCACCTTCGGGTGGCTGCCTGCTGCCTGACAGACAGGGCCGAACCACCTCGCACAGGTGCGAGAAGAAGGCTTTGACGGGGGCTTGCAGACGCTTGTTCAGCTCCTGGCACAACCGTTTGGCAAACAACCACATGTTTGTAAGATGACAAAAATATTCTCTCATTACGACATCGCGGTTCACCTTTTGCACCCCGCTGCTATATTGCTAATTCATAACTTCTCATTTTTTATGAGTTTAACCATATTCAGGCAAGTTTGAAGTTGCACGGCTTTAGTGTAGTGCCACTTGGTGCCGCAACATGCTGGGCAGCACTGTGCTCTACCAGAAGACATTCAGCGTAACAGAAGAGGCAGAGAAGGTACCCACTTAAACTCCATTTTTACCACGGAGCAGAGCAAAGACGCACACGAGTATTGTTGTATCCTGCTTGAATGTTTCGTTGCTGAGTGTGCGTGTCAAAGTTTATAATCATTGTAAAATAAATGCTTATTTCCTTTTGCCTGTTTATGGCGGTTTAAATTATGTGTTAACAATAATTAGAATCAGAATCTCTTTACTGTCATTGTACCACAAGGTGGAACACAATTTCCATTTTGTTCCACACTGTCCAAAAAAAACAATTACCAACCGAGGGATACAGAATGGGAGTTGGCCACTTTTACAGTGCCCCGCTTTTGCAGAAGAAAAGAGAAAAAAAAATCTAACAAAAGCAAGTGGGAAATGTAAAAGTACAACCCCAGATTAAGCTCCTGTAAGGGGAGTATAGTAAGATTAGAAGACCTCTGTAATCATGTTTGGTTGAACTTTTGGTTTAAATATACAGTACAATATTTGCGTCACTTTTGTTTCATGCATCAGTCATCAATTGGGAGAGACAAACAAACAGCTTGGAGCAAACACAATCGGCCTCTTATTTGGAGAACTGTGCAAGCAAGAGTCCCACACAAAAGTCACACAAACTCAAGACTTGCCAATGTCATGTCACCCTACCAGATATATGCATGTCCAGATGCTACTGAAATGACAATATATTTTATGATGGCAATTTATTTATGTTAAAATGTTTCCAATGTATTTTGAAAGTCTAATCATTCTTAATTGCCCTGTGAGGATATAAACATTTTTTTGAATCTGTGCACCTGAGCGCGGCTCTGGATGGCTGCAGAGTGCATGGTCTCCTCCCACACGCAGTGCAGGTCAGTCAGCAGGATGTGGTACCTTGTCTCCCCAAAGCAGCTCTTAGCAAGAAGTTGGCAACCATCAATGGCGACAGGACGCCATGGATGCTGAAGGAGACCATCATTGGGTGCCCCGGTGGTCTCCATTTCGATCGACTGGTGTGCTCACAGGCTGCAGGTCAGAGATGACATTATTTTAAATACCAAGAAACAACAACCATGAGCAGATTGTTTCAAGTCAAGTTATTTATAATCAAAGTTGACATGTAAAACCTGACAAGAAAAAAGACTATTTCTCACAAGACATAAAAACATGAACCTGTGACACAACACACTTCTGCAACCAGGCCATCTCAGCTCATTTGTCACAATAACACACAAGACACGTTCTCCTGGTTCCAGATAGTAAAGGCATACTCACAGTTCCGGGCCAAGGCAAAACTAACGCTATTTCAATTAATAAAAAAACAAAATGACAACTTAAAACGACGCGTTGTCTGATGAGTTTAGCTAGCCAGTTGCTATTTCTTTTTCGTTCGCTGCGACACTTTTCTATCACATTCGCAAAAGTAGCACCTTATTGATTACAGCAGTTTCTAAAAAATGAGACATAAAATTTTTCAAATAAAATGCGTTTTAACGAATAAACATTATCTCCGGACGCAACTGCTTCTCAATCCGGTGTGTGCGGGTGAGTAAAAACACCGATGTGATACAAGTCAATCATTCATAGTTCCGCTTTTATTCAAACGCTCACAATTTCTTTTTTTTTCTTTTGTTCTGGGTTATTCCTGGCTCTATTTTACAAAAGAAAATAGTGTGTGTGTGTGTGTGTGTGTGTGTGTGTGTGTGTGTGTGTGTGTGTGTGTGTGTGTGTGTTCTATCACAGATTAATTTTTTAGGCACTTGAGCTTAAACATGTCATATCTATATTATAATATGTTAAACACCCCCAGCCAAGAGTGGCCCTTCTGCATTGTTGAAGCACACAGAAAAAGAAAAACAAACTGTTTGCAGCACTTCAACACGAAAATATTTATTTATAATTCCACAGTTATAAAATACTGTATCTTCTCATTGAATGTCATTTCTTTTTTTTTCATTTTCAAAATTGCGTGAGGTATACGACAATACAACCATTTCAATGGCATACAGAAAAGGTTTCTGCAGGTGTCATGGGTGGGAAGTTTACTTTCAGATGGATATCAATGATCACAGACCAGTATCAACCCTCTTATCTTGTACTTTAGGAGTAAATCATATGACATTATGCATTTTACCAAGCTTCTCTGTTTCCAACATACACTTCCTGAGACAAAAACATGATGTATGAAACAGCACAATTTACAACAGACCAATACATGAGGCTCCCACAAGAAGACCATCACAGCATCTTCAGGTTGGATTTGTGCAGGTACAGCGGATACCTCAATTTTAACTTATGGTGTAATTACATACTTCCAAAAGGATTGGGGGGGTGGTTACATGAGTAAGTACAGGTAGGGACATGGCATCTCAAAGTGTACATGTTGTGTCGTTGTTCCGAGTTTACTCATGCAGATATGTTTTTATTATATGTGGCAAATACACCCCACATAATTAAACGTGAGTTATGGCTGTAAGCCTGTACAAATCCTTTCCAAAGGATACATTTACAGACTGCTTTATTTTTCATGGTGAGACATCACTGTTAACTTTCAAGGCAAAAGGCAATCAAGAGAGAAAAGGAGGTTAGAGGTCGTCAGACAGACATTTGGTACCGCTTTACTGAGGCTGCGCTTTCAGGACGGCATTCACCTCCTCAGCCACAGCAGTCAGGGCAAATTCAAACTGGTCCTGAAAAGAGGAAATCGGAGCTTGATGATGACTTTGGCTAATTCGAGCCATTTTGTGTGAACTGTAAAAATATGATTTTTAGGATAACAAAACAGGCAACATCGCCACATTATTTCCTCTGTCTCTATCTATTTAGATCTTATTTGCAAAATATGTCTTGTACACAAATGTTCACCTTCGTGCGAACCATTCCAGGCCTCTGGTCACGAATGTGCTCCAGCGTCGCAGCGATGTCTATTTCCTTCACACCTGAGGAAGGAAAACAAAAACCAAAAAAACGAATGTCGCTCTTGTCACTTTTAACTAGGCCAAGCCTTTTAAAATTCAAAGCTCACCTTTAGCCATACGATTTAGAACCATGTCGATCAGGATGTAAGTACCAGTCCGACCTGTTCCGTTACTATGGAGAAAATGACAAAACAAGAAAACCATCAGTTCACAGCATTTAGTGACTTTCACCAACACCTTTACGCACATGCACATCCTCAATGTACACACGGTGAATGAAAAGTAACTCCCTATTTTAAAATGCAGTACTTGCTAATTATAACTATTCCCTATTAGCAGTCTCTTAGGTTTCCATTAGTTCTTTAATGTGTTTTGGCTTCATTAAAGGTTGAGAAACGCAAGCAAACACTCACACAAAAAAGAAAATACCCGTCATTAAAATAAATACATGATATATAAGTACAGTATGTTAAAACAATAAGAGTTACTTTTCTATCACCATGTGGGTTGAAATGAACATCATATCAAACCTGCAGTGGATGATGATAGGGCATGCGCGTCCTCGGTAGCATTTATTCACCTTCCTGGGGAGAGACAAGAGGCAAAATGTTGCCCATTGTGAAAGTCTGCAAGGTCAAAGTCAACTAAGGTTTACGTTTGAGTGATGGGCCTCTTGCTGCAGCCACATCAGTCCATGATCATTTTTGTGACTATGCAACTGGACTCAGACTACTAGCTGCAAACCACAAGAATGACACAGACAGATATGTTCAACAATAAACCACTGGCATGACGAGTGGGGTACGGGACAAATGAATGTTTTCTTCACCACATTGTTGTTGTTGTTTTAAGATTCATATCTTTTCGTTGCTGGCTCAATGTCATTCTTTCTGCTCTCTCTGGGGTTGTACCTGCGGAAGTCCAGTAGAGGGCGTGTGGAGGCGGGGATCCCATGAGCAGGCCAGCTGAGGAAGTGGAACTGAGTCAGGGTTCGGGTCTCTTGCGTCTGAACATTTTTCAGGTAGAAGCTCCGCACCAGGAAGTCGTTGCACCAGATGTGCTCAGACACCAGGTTCACCTGCAGATAGAAGTGGTAAGGCGTAAACAAGTACAAATACCTAATTACTGTACCTATGTGCACAGCTTTTTTTTTTTTTACAGAAGTATCTGTTCTTCTACATCTGGCAGATGGAGACAGCGATAGAACAATTACGTCACATAGCATGTGTGACGATGAGGATATAAGCGCTGAGCACACCTCATAAATATGGTAGAGCGAGGATCCTTCATCTGGCCAGTAGCGGTCACATTGTTTCTCTCCCTCCTCCACCAGAGCTGTCATCATGACGATCACCGTGCAGCCCGTCTCCCACACCATCTGCACACCAACACGTCACATGCACACAGTGGTGGGAAAACATAACATCAAGTACAGATATTTTGACACTATACTGAAGTCAACTTTTTAGATATTTGTTATTGAGTATTTCTTTTTTTGACATTTTTTAACCCTACATTTGAAAACGAACCTCTGCCTTTTCTACTACTTTTCCATAATTGGCTTGTTGCATTTTACATCGGCGCAACATTCAACCATATTTCAGCCATCGATGATGAACTCAGCTCAGCGTATGTCAAATGCAAGCAATGGGTGTCGCTGACCTGCCAGAAGTCAGAGATGGTGTGGGACAGGGGTCCCTGGGTGGCGATATAGGCCGGCATCCGAGGGTCATGTTCAATCTAAAACCAGGGAGGGAGAGGATGAGGTGATGGGCAAGTTTCCATGGGAACCAGCTGCAATGATGACATTCTCTACTCACAAAAATTTAGGTTTATTTGGCTTTCGGGTGAAATTTCAGGATGTACTATAAACTTTCGAGGTGACCCTCTGTAAACTTTTTCAGTCTCACCTGAAATCTGAATAACCCTAATTTTATATGAGTAGTGTAGAATTCAAAGTAGAGACTCACGATGGTGCTGGCGTTGATGTAGTCGGACCGAGAAGGGTTGATCTCTGGTTTAAGCTTCACCCTGGTATGATCATCTAGGAGAACCAACATAGGAAGTATTTCTGATATGCTGCACGTAGCAGTATGATAACCGAAAACTGTTGCTGGGGCTCACAGGGCAGCGAGTGGTGAAAGCGGTTCTTTTTGATGTTCAGCTCGCTCTGAGCCACAGTCACGCTGCTGGGCTCTGCCTGGTAGGAACACAAAAGCTCCCACTCCTTCAACAGACGGTCTTTGTTGCTCAGGTGGTCCTCCATGTATGCCTTTTTAAAAAGGACATCACAACAGTTAGTGTCTCTTATACAACTGCAATACTCGCAAAAAGTTTGGAATATGGAGCTTCGGGGTTACATATCGGGATGAATTTGAAATGCTCCATAACCATTCTCGGAACAAACTGTTGTACTTTTTGCAAAACTAGCTGGACTCTAACAAGGAGATGAAAGTCGAAATATAAAATAGTTGTTGGATCCATGATTGGATCAATAAATGTCCTGGTTCATTTAGAATTGGTATTTAAATGGTCCAGTATGAAGCTTTAAACAGGGAGTGGCAACTGGGATTAGAGTGTCATCAGCAGCCTGCAACAGGGACACTGTAAGACTGGAAGAGTCACAGAAAGGTGGAGACGTCGATATCCTTATAGGGGGAAAAAAAAACAGATATTTTGCCATTCAGCTCCTTGATAGGGAACAGCAAGTTGTGCAAAAAATAGTGAAACATTCAACAGTTGGATATGTAATCATGATTTCAGACTACCCCAGTCCCTCACTGCGTTACTGCTGTTTTAATTCGCTTCCTTCATTGCTCATTTTGACACTCCTATTTTCGGACCGTAATTATAAACCTGGGTAGCAGCACACAGCTCTATTGATTTAGAACAGTTTGAACAACTTTACACAGACACAAAAAAAAAGGAAGGTCCACGGGTCTGAAGACATGGTGTAAATGTCCACCTCTACAAACAAATTCACCTGTAAAGGGTACTTTAGGGACATTCTAGAATCCAAAAGTCCAATTTCCCTAACTTTTTTTGTCAGCAGTGTAGTTACGGATCCATCACTGGTCAGCTGATTATTGGACAGAGCTTTGATCTCGAGGACCACAAGGATGCCCTTTTAAAGCGTACCAGAATCATGTGGCCAGTGGAAATGTCCAGGTTGGCCTGCGCAGGCTCCTCGCACCATGACGGCGTGCTGCTGTGGGAGCTGGGACTGGGCTGGGCTCCGTCGCTGAACTGGGACGACATGCTGCTCACTCTTGAGTCGGCGCCCCCAACTGCTCCGGGCCCTCTCCCGGCACCTGCCGCTGCTCCTCCTCCGCTCGGCCCCCCGACGGCGCCCAGGGCGGCGGCTTCCAGGCGTCCGAAGGCACCTTTGGAGGTCATATGCTGGCGACACAGGTCCTGGTGAGCCAGTTATGCAAGTTGTTAACTCGGTTCTGCTTTGACTCACTTTTCACCCTTGATTCAGCCAAGGTCCCACTAATTTACAAATCAAATCTATGAACATTCACATTGTATCAAATCATATTGTGCTACTAGAAAACAAGAATACCAGAAAGCATTCAAAATCAAATCTGAGTTGACAATTTCACTTTACGTATTTTTATTTTTTTAAGGCTTCAACACTCATGGGCTTCCTCACCTGGTACTCCTGGTGGCTGAAGCTTCCACCCTCAGCCCCGAGGCCCAGCTTCTTGGCCGCCAGTCGCTGGGCGTGGCGACGCAAGCAGGTGACGCTTAGGCCCGCCACCAGGATGCCACCGATGCAAGCCAAAGCCACCAGAGTAGAGGAAAGCCAGCGAGAGTCAGGCTGCAGTCGGGTAGCCAGGGGCAACACTTTGCCATCATTCTTCATTTGCTAAGGAAGAGTACAGAGAAACATTTTAAAAAGACCACCAATTATCTTGTTAGCTATTCATCTATTACATTTTCTAAACTGCTTGTTCTCATTTGCGGTTCACTGGAGGTTACCTCAGATGACTTCAAGCAAGAGTGGCAGAGGACACCACTGACTGCTCTCCAAACAACCACTCACACTCACATTTCCAAATATGGTTACATCTGAGTCCTCAATTAGCTGGTCTCTTGACTGTGATGCACCTATGCTAAGCCATCAAGCTTTTATTTTCCCTGTTGTATTTCATTGCCAGCTAATATTTGGATTGTTTTTGTGTCACTCACTTATTTAGTCCCTTTTAGGATTACAGATACACACAGGTGACAGGAATTCCGCTTCTGAACCTAAAATCAACTTTTAAGAGGCACACTTATAACTACAAATGACTGGAGGAGATCAGGACTGTTATTTTTTCTTTTCAAGAGGCTAAGTCAAAATAAACTACTGAGTGATGTGGTTGCACAACCGCATAAATGGGGATGTGGCTGTGTTCAGAATGAACTAATCTCATCCAAACTCATGTTAAACAGGAGTAAGCACACAACTGCCACATTTTAATGGGCCTCCGATTAACCGTATATATCATATAGATATTTCAGATGTTCTAGTAGGCTTTTCTTGACATGTTTTATGTCATTTCTAGAGGACGCGTGAAGGTTTTATGTTAACTGCTATTTCCAACAGTTCCGGATTGCTTCCAGCTTGTCTAAGACTTCCTGTATTATTATTACCAGTCGATATTTGTGAATATTGAGTCTGTGACTATTTAATTTCGCTCACTGGATGAATAAATAATCTCCCCCTTCTCTATTGAGTTCTCTTATTCTTCACCACCAATACGTTTGTTTCTTGCTGTCACCTGGCCGTCGCTGTTCTGCAGAATCTTCGTGCTTGTCTCAGGCTCCGGGATGCTCTTATCTGGAACTGACCATGTGCAGACTTACAACAGCTTTGTAACACTAAAACTTTGTGACTTTGATATTACGAATACATAACTATGGCAAACTCCCCAAACTGATTCAATATTAACCTTCTTTCTCCGACAGGTTCATTAAGTTTGGGTTGGTCTCGTAGGTTCTCACTGGACCGAACACTCTGGCAAAAGGGAAGAAGAGAGCATTTGTTAAGAAAATAATTCCCAAGTGTTTGTTTATATAAACTATTGTTTGTGACAGTGTAGTCATACTTTTCGGGTTTGTTCTTTTCCAGTTTGCCCACCATTGCAAAGCGAGTATCCTTTTGGACCTCCACTGGTTTGGAGGACTTGATGATTGGCAGACCGTCTGGGGCAGCCATTTTGTGCTCCATAACACCCTCTGTCATCTGATGAATATAATGTACTACTGTCACTTTCACAATTAAATATGTAGTGGGAAAAAGTGAGCTTGTTCAGCAAATTAAAGTCCCTGTAAAGTGAAAATAAATATGTCTTATAGGTACAGTATTTTTAAAATGAGGCTTCAAAACCATGAAAAATCAAGCAATTCCTTTCACTCTCGGATACCGTGGTCATGTCCGCTGAATGCGCTGTAACCGTGCCCGGCTCAACTGCCAATCAAATGTCCCTGCTATGTCTTGGTCAAGCATCTTTCTTATGCTTCCACATACCTTTGAGCGACAAAAATATCGGAGATCAATTTAAAGCTTTCGGTGATTTGGAGCACGTATATCGCACCTATGTGTGAGCTTTTCCACAACACCACGACAAGGCATTCGGAAAAAAAAAATCCCCGACATTCCCAAATCAGCCCGAAGCACTGGTCCACATACTGGCTGTTAAAAAAGAAAAAAAAAGAAAAGTCCTGGCACTTAGTGCTAGCCAGTTCTAAACCCTGGTGCACATGCTAACTATCAAGGTGGACGAATGATGCAATGTTGATTTAAAAAAACTGAAGAATTCCATTTTAATCTAAGAAGTGGAAGCTCACCTCTGCTTGTTGCAGAAAAAGGGTATCATACTTTTAATATAAGAAAAAAAAGGTCCAACTGAGAATATACTGCATACAAAAATGTAATTTTCAAGGTTTTTTTTTTGTTTTTTTTTTTTACAAACTCCGCATTTTGCCAACAACCTTAATTTAAACGATAAAAAAACCAAAATGAATTGATATTTTATCTTAATGACAAGAACTTATTTTAGGTAAAAACGTCATGCAGTAAGAAAAAAGGGGAAAAAAATCAATAATTAATTTGACTGTAAATGTATGTGGACAAAAATGGCCACAAACAAGCTGCAAAGGCTATTCCAAATCCTACAAGGCCTGAGCGTTAAGTGATTGCTAGACAGAAGTAAATCGTACAGAATGCTGCTGTGTTAATGACATGCCTCAAGCTCACCTTCTTTCCGGTGCTGACATTTTTCCCAGAGTTTTCTGGAAGGTGAACACATGACAAGATTAGCGATGATTTGTTGACCTGAATGTGCATTCAAACTGTGTGAGTAGAAACACTTGGCAAATGTGAGTGCGCATCAGTATGTCCATCCATCGTGTATCCTCGCTGAAGTATGACAGTTTGCATTGAAATGTGAGAAGCGGGATGCGGAGACCTTTGGTTGTTTTCTGGCTAAAGGAGCTTTCCAGCTGAAGCTGCTTGAGCAAAGCCGGCAGTTTGTCTCTCTGCTCAGGGGACAAATCTTGGACATCCAGGCCGTAGTGACCCAGCAACTGAGTCAGACGCTGCACCGAGCGCGCTGCAAAACAATTCAACGTTACGCCAAATATTACTCATCATTTTATCCTAGGTGTGCTGCGAGAAATTATCTAATGTCAATTGTTTGGAAGAAAAATTATTTTCGAACGAAAAGTATTTTTGTATAGTATACTGTAGTACATCGTACAGTACTGTGTAGTAACATGCAAAAACAATCAAATATTCTTCCAGTAGATGACAGAAGGTACACAATTAACATGTGAATCCACTTATTGTGAATCGTTTTGCGAAATTGTGTGGCGTGAGATTTTTTTTATTTATTTATTTTTTAACCAATGTGAAATATGTGCCATGACTCAATAAGGGTTTGGCAACCTTATTTTCGAGGTTTGCCGAATATGGGGGCGGACGTGCAGGGACAGTAGCAACATCACGGAGAAATGTGAACCAGAGAATATAAACGATGACGGCAACAGAGTTAGAGAAAAAGGTTCTCATTTTTGTTAGTTCGTCCACAACGTTAGCAAAGTATGATGCGATCAATACGCAGGTCGATAAAAGAGGACAAAGTATTTTGTCTGCAGAGAAGTTATTTTTAAAGCGTGATCAAAACTGGTATTGTATATAACCGGCAGATAAAAAAAAAAGAAAAATCATATTTCCTATTTGCTTTAGTACTCAACATTTCAGAGTCTGTACTTTTCTATTAATATTCATGTAAATGAGGTGTGGTTATACTTTTACCACTTTTACGGTGTGTTAGTACCTTCTACCACCTCTGTCTAATTTCTTGTGTTTCTTTTATTTTCACCCAACTCCAGTATGACCTTCTTGACCTGCATCACATTATTTGGACAAAAGGATCTATCCATTGGACATTTCTCACCATCTAATCCTGCCAGAGCGTCATACTTCGGCACTACATTGCTCAGCGGCTGCTTGCTAAGACCTTCGATTTGGGAAATGTAGTCTTGGTCATAGTCTCGCGGGAAGTCAAGTTCTGGAAAGGCGGAGGCTAATGCAAAAGATTCCGCAGGTGCCCCCCTGTAACGGGAAGCAGGCTGGACAGTGGAGGAGGAGGAGGAGGAGGATGGAAAGGTGAGGTAATAGGACACCAAGTTCTGGAGAAGTTGCTTGTCTCTCTCCAGAGCCTTTCCTCTGGATCTGGTGCGAGGAGACGAGTAGCGGACGAATGGAAAGGTTGGATTTTCTTCCAGGGAGTTGAGGGATCGTTCTGCCTCATCCTGAAAATAATAATAACCAAGTTCATGTATGTAGCACCTGTAAAAATGTATTTAATAAAGTGCTTTGACAGGAGAGAAGAGTACCGGTACACTTCAAACAAAATAAGATTTTATCATTATAAGCAATAATACCCAAACAGACATACAGGACTGTCGATACTAACTGTCACATGATCCTTCTCATATATTGTCTTCATTGAGGAACCCAAAAAATGCAAGAGCCCAACAGACGCAACTGATAGCAGCAGGGCTGAAGTAAATTTTCCCGGTTCCAAAATGGCACCCTGACGGAGAATACTGTTTCATCTGTACTTTTAAGCTTTGACTTTGGCCCTCAGAAGATTCAAAGACCCACAAATCTGAAAATCACTTCTCAAACAAACTGGAAGCCAATGTTGCAACGATGCTAAAATGAAAAGGAAATACCAAAGAAGAGAGAGTTGCAGTCATGTGGAGAAAAGAAGAGTATCAATCTCAGTGATGTGTTCCTCCAGCCGGTCCTTGGCCTCGAGGACCGGCTCGAGGATCGAAGGTCGGTCCTTGGTCCTTGGCCTTGGGAGTCAAGTTCTTGGCCTTGCCCTTGGCCTCAGATTGCCGGTCCTCGGACACAATGAGGGATTAGAGCCTCGAATCCCTTGTCCAGGGATATAAAGGGGGTCCGAGGACCGCAGAAATCACGAAGGAATCAAATAAATTCCATCCAGGGAAAGACATATTGATGGATTACGCTGGCGATTTAAAAGGGGCGGGTCTGCCACTGACAAGTGACAGCGCAACGAATAAAGAGCGGCATCACAGTTAGTTTCAATCACGGTTTGTTCCGTTCGCGATCGGCAGTTTAAATAGCGTGAAAAGTCTTTCTGTAACAGTGGTGTCTTTTATGTAGTTATTTTTGCACAGTCGTCACGTTTGTGCGGTGGGACTAGAATGTTTGTTTGAACCAAGTCATTTGCGTTACAGCTGGAGTCAATAATGACGGCACTTCACTTCCGGGTTTGGCCGTTGGGATTTGGAGTCCTTTTGCTCGATTCCAGTTATGTTTGCTGAATGCTTTCTCATGTTTGGAATAATGAATATTGATAATACATAGTTTAAAATGATGGTTGATTTAATTATTTTTTATTATTATTGTGAAGTTGAAGGTATTAAATTAATTAATGTAGTATTAGTGGGAGTGGTAATAATAGTAGTACTCAGAGAATGTTTAGAGATCAGCCATCTCGTTACCTCTGCGTCCCGCGTCCGAGACGCAAAATTAACCCACAGGACGCACAGTTCCAAACAAT